CACCAGGTGAGCTCACCAATGACTGCTTGTCTTCTTGCCCCCACCATGGAAATGCCCCCTGGCCATCCACTAGACAACCCCACTTCCTAGATGCCCGTTCTCTGACCACCCTTACGGTGTCCTCTCTCTGACCTACCACTGGTAGCCCCCCTCCCCCCACACACACACACACACATGCTGCCACTCTGACCACCCCCAAGGTGCCCCCACTCTGACCAACCATTAGGTTCCCTCTGTCTAAACCCCTCTCCATAGATGTCTTCTCTCTGACCACCCCCAAGGTGTCCCCACCCTGACCATCCCCAAATGTGCCAACTCTCTGCCCACCACCAAGTGCCCACCACTCTGCCCACCACTAGGTGTCTCCTCACTGCCAATCCCTTAGGTGTTCCCCCCTCTGCCCACCCCCCATTTGTTCCCTCTATGACCCCCACAGGTGTCCTCTCTTCATCCACCCCAGGAGCCCCTCTCTGCCCACCCCCCAAGGTGTACCCTCTCTTACCACCCGCAGTTGTCCTCTGGTCCACACTCAGGTGCCCCCCATCTGCCCACCCCCCAGTTGTCCCCTCTATGACCCCCAGAGGTGTCCCCTCTCTCTTTACACTCCCCAGGTGTTATCTCTTTACCCACCCACAGGTGTCCCCCCTCTGTCAAGCCCCCAGGTGTTATCTTTTTGCCCATCTCTGTAGACGCATCTCTGCAAACCCCAGGTGTCCCCTCTCTGCACACCCCAGGTGTCCCCTCTCTGCCCACCCCAGGAGTTTCCTCTCTGCAAACCCCAGGTGTCCCCTCTCTGCCCATTCCAGGAGTCCCCTCTCTGCACACCCCAGGTGTCCCCTCTCTGCCCACCCAGGTGTCCCCTCTCTCCCCACCCAGGTGTCCCCTCTCTCTGCCCACCTAGAGTCCCCTCTCTGCCCACCCAGGTGTGTCCCCTCTCTGCCCACCTAGGAGTCCCCTCTCTTCACACCCCAAGTGTCCCCTCTCTGCCCACCCACCTCTAGGTGTCTCCTCTTTGCCCACCCCCAGGGGTCCCTTTCTGCCAACCCAAGGTGTCCCCTCTCTGCCCACCCAGGTGTCCCCTCTCTACCCACTTAGGAGTCCCCTCTCTGCACACCCCAAGTGTCCCCTCTCTGCACACCCCAAGTGTCCCCTCTCTGCCCACCCCGCCTCTAGGTTTCCCCTCTTTGCCACCCCCCAGGGGCCCCTTTCTACCCACCCATGTGTCCCCTCTCTGCCCACCCAGGTGTCCCCTCTCTGCCCACCCAGGTGTCCCCTCTCTGCCACACCTAGGAGTCCCCTCTCTGCCCACCCAGGTGTCCCCTCTCTGCCCACCTAGGAGTCCCCTCTCTTCACACCCCAAGTGTCCCCTCTCTGCCCACCCACCTCTAGGTGTCTCCTCTTTGCCCACCCCCAGGGGCCCCTTTCTGCCAACCCAAGTGTCCCCTCTCTGCCCCACCCAGGTGTCCCCTCTCTACCCACTTAGGAGTCCCCTCTCTGCACACCCCAAGTGTCCCCTCTCTGCACACCCCCAAGTGTCCCCTCTCTGCCCACCCACCTCTAGGTATCCCCTCTTTGCCCACTCCCAGGGGCCCCTTTCTGCCCACCCAAGTGTCCCCTTTCTGCCCAACACAGGTGTCCCCTTTCTGCCCCCCCAGGTGTCCCTCCCTCTGCCCCCCCCACTTTCCTTCCTGGCACCCCATTCGTTCCATGCAGTCACATTCCAATCATTTGTTCGGATTCCTCCTCTCTGACTGTTTTTCTTGGAACATTTTATGAAGAAAAACGATTTTCAGCTCACCTGCCGTCCTGTGTGCGATCGACATGTAGGTGGGAGCGACATGTAGGTGGGAGCAACACGGATGTGCAGCTCCACGTTGTTGCTTCAGATCCAGTACGTTGCGGTGCAACGAGGCCCTTCACATGCGTTTATACACGTGCAGAGTATCCATATCGGAATCTGAAACGCTCCATTCATTATCATTAGAATTGACCTACGGACTCCTCATAGACCCCTGTACGGCCCCTGTTGCCCACACTTAAACCACACCCAAAAAAGCTGACCCGGGAAATTGTACAGCTGCAGCACACAGGGAACAATCCGTCATATCGTCCCACTCAAGGAAAATTCAAAAACAAAAAACACCCGATGTAGCACACAAGGCCAGATGGCAGCCATCAAACCAGAATCCAGTGAACGAGGCCCTCATGGGGCAGTGCAAGCACCCAAATGGTCAGTCTGACCCCTGGCAGGGGTGGACTGACAAGTGCAGCACCCCGGGCACATGGAACATGGGGCCCCTGTAATCACGATCCATAAAACGTTCCCACCAAAAAATCTGAAAAAGGTCCACCCAAAACAAAAACTGACCCTGGGCCCTCACCCCCACCCAAATAGGTCAGTCCGCTCCTGGCAGGGGTGGACTGACAGCTCATGGGCCCCCGGCAATAGGGGATCATGGGCCCCTGTGTGCATGTCCACACTTAAACCGCACCCAGAAAAGCCTATGAAAGGTACAGAAATGGGGCCCCCTACTGACCCCGGGCCCTCGGGCAGTGCCCGAATCACCCGAATGGTCAGTCTGCCCCTGGCAGGGGTGGACTGCAACTCATGTGGACTGACAACTCATGGGGCCCCCGGGCAAATAGGGGATCATGGGGCCCCTGTGTGCACGCCCACACTTAAACCACACCCAAAAAAGCCTATGAAAGGTTCCCAGGGGCATCTCATGGGGCCCCCTACTGACCCCGGGCCCTCGGGCAGTGCCACGAAGCACCCGAATAGTCAGTCCGCCCCTGGCAGGGGTGGACTGACAAGTCATGGGGCCCCTGGGCAATAGGGGATCATGGGGCCCCTGTGTGCATGCCCACACTTAAACCACACCCAAAAAAGCCTATGAAAGGTACCAGGAGAATTTCATGGGGCCCCCTACTGACCCCGGGCCCTCGGGCAGTGCCCGAAGCACCCGAATGGTCAGTCTGCCCCTGGCAGGGGTGGATTGACAACTCATGGGGCCCCCGGGCAATAGGGGATCATGGGGCCCCTGTGTGCATGCCCACACTTAAACCACCACACCCAAAAAAGCCTATGAAAGGTACCAGGGGCATCTCATGGGGCCCCCTACTGACCCCGGTCCCCCTCGGGCAGTGCCCGAAGCACCCGAAATAGTCAGTCCGCCCCTGGCAGGGGTAGACTGACAACTCATGTGGACTGACAACTCATGGGGCCCCCGGGCAATAGGGGATCATGGGGCCCCTGTGTGCACGCCCACACTTAAACCACACCCAAAAAAGCCTATGAAAGGTTCCAGGGGCATCTCATGGGACCCCCTACTGACCCCGGGCCCTCGGGCAGTGCACGAAGCACCCGAATGGTCAGTCCGCCCTTGGCAGGGGTGGACTGACAAGTCATGGGGCGCCTGGGCAATAGGGGATCATGGGGCCCCTGTGTGCACGCCCACACTTAAACCACACCCAAAAAAGCCTATGAAAGGTACCAGGGGCATCTCATGGGGCCCCTACTGACCCCGGGCCCTCGGGCAGTGCCCGAGCACCCGAATGGTCTGTCCGCCCCTGGTAGTGTGTATGTCTGGGCTCTGTGCTAACTCCATGCATCTGGCATACCACTGACCAGGTATAGGGACGAGCCGGCCTATCGCTGATCAGAAAAGGACAGGGGGCGTGTCCAGATATTGTACAGCCTGCGACCGCATGTGGCTCGCCCGCTTCCGTTTTGCCGCTGCCAGAAACCAGTTGAGCCAGTCCACCTTACCAGTTGCTGCTGGGATCTTAAAGAGACAGACACCTCGTCTGTGAATGGAGGAGCCGCTAAGTCACCGGTCACACTGTTGCGATTTAAAGTCGTGCGGTTTCTGAAAACGTATTTGCGACTTGTGAAGATTTGCAACGATTTCCCGCGATTCGCTTTGCGCTTTCCATTCTATTCTATGTGAAATCGCAACAAACCGCACAAAAAGTCCCGCAAGAACTACTTTAGAAATCGCGCCGCGGCAAATCGCACAGGTTAAGACGCCGACGTTCACCTTCATTAGATGTGATTTCAATTCGCAAATCAATTTCAATTACTAAAACAACTTTATTAGCAAACTCTAATTGTCAGCCAACAAATCAGCTGCAAAAAGAGGTGCAACAGTTGGCCACTCCCGAGTCTCCTTAGAGGGACAACAGCAAGTGAACTTGTCTCTCCTGCAATGGGTATGGGCCCTGCCAGGGAGGAAGATGGTGGCCATGGATAACAGCTGGTGACATTTGTGCCTGGAAGAAGATATGGAAGCCTGCCTCAAGATCTGTGGGGTAGTTGTGGAAAGGTTCCCCGAGGAGCAGTGGGTAGATGTTCTGTCCCGTATATGTATTTTTCTGTTCTTGACTGTATCTAATTGTTATTGTCCTGCTTTGACATCTAGTGGTGGTTTTGGGCCGCTACAACTTGTTTACTTACATGATTTGGTATTTCCCTCTGTCCTCACCTCCTTTTTAACCACTTGTCCTCTAGAGGATTTACCCCCCCTTTCTGACCAGGCCATTTTTTGTGAATGTTTCTTGATTTTTCAAGTGTTTTGGGCCGCTACAACTTGTTTACTTACATGATTTGGTATTTCCCTCTGTCCTCACCTCCTTTTTTAACCACTTGCCCTCTAGAGGATTTACCCCCCCTTTCTGACCAGGCCATTTTTTGCAAATGTTTCTGGATTTTTCAAGTGTTTTGGTTTTGGGCCGCTACAACTTGTTTACTTACATGATTTGGTATTTCCCTCTGTCCTCACCTCCTTTTTAACCACTTGCCATCTAGAGGATTTACCCCCCCCCCCCTTTCTGACCAGGCCATTTTTTGCAAATGTTTCTTGTTTTTTCGTTTTGGGCTGCTACAACTTGTTTACTTACATGATTTGGTATTTCCCTCTGTCCTCACCTCCTTTTTAACCACCTGCTCTAGAGGATTTACCCCCCCCTTTCTGACCAGGCCATTTTTTGCGAATGTTTGTGGATTTTTCAAGTGTTTTTCGTTTTGGGCTGCTACAACTTGTTTACTTACATGATTTGGTATTTCCCTCTGTCCTCACCTCCTTTTTAACCACTTGCCCTCTAGAGGATTTACCCCCCCCCCTTTCTGACCAGGCCATTTTTTGCGAATGTTTCTGGATTTTTCAAGTGTTTTGGATGCTATTGACAACGAATGGAGCCGCAGGCGTGGCACGGGTTTTATGTACATTTTGGAAATGCCTGCGATGTTCACAAAATGCCATAGTGAGAATGTAACCTTATATTGAATCCAACCTCTAAATCATTGCATTTGATATTTTAAGGGCACCATTGAAAAATACCAAAAATACATTTTATTCAGCATGCAGGGGCTGCTGGTCGGCTTTCCGCGGAGGGGACATGTACACTGATCATCAGGGCACTGATGATCAGTGTGCCCTGATGATCAGTGTGGCCCCAGAAGTGCCACCTGTCAGTGCTCATCAGTGGCAGTGCTCATCAGTGCCACGTGCCAATGCCCATCAGTGCCACATCAATGCCACATATCAGTGCATACCAGTGCACATCAATGCCACATATCATTGCCCATCTGAGCTGCCTTTCAATGTCACCCATCAGTGCGAGTCAGTGCCACCTATCAATGCCACCTATCAGTGCTGCCAATCAGTGCCACCTATCAGTGCCAGTCAGTGCCAGTCAGTGCCGCCTATCAGTGCCAGTCAGTGCCGTTTATCAGTGCCAGTCAGTGCCGTTTATCAGTGCCAGTCAGTGCCGCCTATCAGTGCCAGTCAGTGCCGTTTATCAGTGCCAGTCAGTGCCGCCTAACAGTGCCAGTCAGTGCTGCCTAACAGTGCCAGTCAGTGCCGCCTAACAGTGCCAGTCAGTGCCGCCTATTAGTGCCAGTCAGTGCTGCCTATCAGTGCCGCCTATCATCATGTCATGTATCAGTGCTGCTGCCTTTCAGTGCCCATCAGTGATGCCTGTCAATGCCCATCAGTGCAACCTACCAGTGCCACCTATCAGTGTCCATCAGTGCAGCCTATCAGTGCCCATCACTGCAGCCTCATTAGCGCACATCAGTGAAGGAGAAAAATCACTTATTTACAAAATTGTATAACAAAAACTAAGAAAAAACGTTTTTTTTTTCAAAATTTTCAGTGGTTTTTGGTTTGTTTAAGAAAAGATAAAAATCCCAGAGGTGATTAAATACCACCCAAAAGAAAGCTCTATCTGTCTAAAAAAAATGATAAAAATGTCATATGGGTACAGTGTTGCATGACCGCGCAATTGTCATTCAAAGTGTGACAGCGCTGAAAGCTGGAAATTGGCCTGGGCAGGAAGGGGGTATAAGTGCCCTGTAGGCAAGGGGTTAAAGTAGTTGTAAAGGCTCAAGGTTTTTTATTCTATTGCATGATGGTAGAAGACCTTCCGTGTGCAGCATCCCCTCCCAGCCCCCCCCCATACTCACCTAAGCCCCGTCTTGATCCAGCGATGTGCTCTGGAGTCTCGGCTATCCCAGGATTCCCTCTTCTCATTGGCTGAGACAGAAGCGGGAGCCATTGGTTTCACCTGCTGTCAATCACAGCCAGTGAGCCAATGTGAAGAGAGAGGGGACGGGGCCAAGCTGCAGCTCTGTGTGTGGACACATGGAGCAGTGGGTGCCCCCATAGCAAGCTGATTGCTGTGGGGGCACACGACAAGAGAAGGGGCCAGGAGAGCCTGTGGGGACCTGAGAAAAGGAGAATCTGGGCTGCTCTGTGCAAAACCACTACACACAGCAGGTAAGTACAGTCGTACCTCGGTTTACAAACGCCTCGGTTAACGTAATTTTCTTCGCAATTTTTTTTTGCAATACGAAGCAAGTTTTCCTATGATGCAAGGCAGGGAGCTAAGCTTCGTGTGATTTATGTAGAGTTGAAGTGTACTGTACCATGTTTGAAAAGTTGGCCATGTGTTAAAAGTTGAAGTTGGATGTTTGAAATGTTATTGCTTGATTAATCATGTCCCTGTACAGTATTTATGCCTTTAACCCCTTCCAGTCCGGACACTTTCACCCCCTTCCTGTCCAGGGCAATTTTCAGCTTTCAGCGCTATCACACTTTGAATGACAATTGCGCGGTCATGCCACACTGTACCCAAATGAATTTTTTACCATTTTTTTGAGACAGATAAAGCTTTATTTTGGTGGTATTTATTCACTGCTGGGATTTTTATTTTTTTTGCTATGTAAATAAAAAAAATTTTTTGAAAAAAAAAGTGTGTTTTTTTTAATAAAATTTTGCAAATAAATAATATTTCATCATAAATCTTTGCCAAAATTTATTCCGTTATCTTTTTAGTAAAAAAAAAATCCAAATTAGTTTATAACCAAAAATTAAAAATTTTTTTACATTTTTTTTTACATTATTTAATTTTTTTATATTATTTTTTTTTTTTTTTTTTTACATACTGTCTCCCTAGCAACAGTGTCACCATGGTGACACTGTACTACTTGTGGGGGGTGATGAAGAATTTTTTTTTTTTTTTTTTTACACTGATTGCTTATACAACCATATAGGATGTAAAAGCAGTAATTTCTCTTTCTCTCTGGCTGCATTCTTGCACTCATTGAGAAGTACTGAGTGAGCTGTGATTGGTCACAGCTTGTCACATGGTACAAGCCTGTTGTGAATAGCCTTGTACCATGTGACCTCTGTGATCATTCACAGATTTCACACGTAGTAAGCAATGATGTCACAAGTGACATCTTGCTTACTACTTTGCATGTGATCACTGATTGGCCAATCAGTGATCACATGATCGGGACCTCGTACAGAGGTCCCGTCCGACGATCGGTGTTTCACTGTGTCCGGAGGACACAGCGGGCACCGGATCGCGGTGCTGCGCGCTCCCATGAAGCGCGCACAAGCAGGGTGCGGGGAGGCCGTTTATAAACGGCCACCCGACCCTGCACTGCCACTGTCCGGCCGTTTATATGCAATGGCCGGTCGGGAAGTGGTTAAAGTGAACTTTATAAAGAGTTTTGAACAGATAAAGGACTTTTTTTTTTACTTTTTTCTGACCTGAACTGATTAATTGGTTTTCAAAGCAATCCTATGGGAAAACGCGTTCCGGTTTACGAATTTTTCCCAATACAAAACGTCCCGGAGAAAGCATTAAATTCATAAACCGAGGTACGCCTGTTAGACATGTTTGTTATTTTTTCTTTTAAAAAAATAAGCCTTTAGAATCACTTTAAAGAGTCAAGCTGTCTGTGGACGGTGTCAAGTCAGCAGGTGACCATACCGTCTGAACAGACTAGGTCTATGCAAAATGGCATCCCATTGACTTCAGTGCAAAAATGTGCCCCATTGAGTTCAATGCAAAACGCCCCCTGTCGACTTCAATGCAAAATCATGTCCCATTTGCTTCAATGCAAAAACGCCTGCCATTGACTTCAATGTACAAAAGCCTCCCATTGACTTCAATCAAAAACTCCTATCAATAGCAATCCTATGAGAACACTTATCTACGCATGCCACTCTACCCGGGGCGGACTGACAACTCATGGGGCTCCCCGGCAATAGGGGATCATGGGGCCCCTGTGCCCTTGCCCAAACTCAAAAAAGCCTATGAAAAAGGTACCAGGGGCATCTCATGGGGCCCCAAACTGACCACGGCCCTCGAGTTTCCAAATGGTCAGTCCGCCCCTGCACTCTACTCTAGTCAGGAACGCACCGTCAAAAACTCGCACAGGACCCCTTTTTCGACATGGCACCCAAAACACAATGTTTGTGGATCACATCTCTGTGAACCATCTCAATAGGAACAACTACTATCTAACCTGCCATACGAATCTGAATTTGAAAACAGCATATTGTTACAGCATATTATTTATTATTTTATCTTGGATTGTTCTGTTACTTATTATAGTACGTTGGGTTACAGTACATTATATTTTGTTATAGTGTATTGCGGTATGTTATATTATATAGAAGTTTAATGTGAAGTCTCGTATTGCAGGTGCCTTTCTCAGCGATGGCAGCGAGGGGGGAACGCCTCCAATTCCTGCACTGTACTTTCTCTTTTGGGGGCTCCTTGTGCCTTCATGGGGTCACTGGCTCCAGGACACATAGCAGAGTAAGTAGATGGGGCCCCTTACTGACAGGGCCACATAATGATGGAGAAGTAAGCAGTAAGGACGGTTCATGGGCAGGGTGGAGTCACCTTAGCAGTTAGGTGGAGCTAAGTTAAATAGGATGGGAGGGTTGGAGTAACAATTCAAGGTAGATTGGTGTACAAGGGGGTCATTGGATAAAAAGGGGAAGGGATTTGTTGGATGAATGCAGTTAATCCAGACATAATGTTGGAAGGGGAGGAGTATATGAGTATGTGATAAAAGGGGGTCTGTGTGAGGAAGGGGCTAGTGTGGGAGCAAAAGGGGAGGAGTCTCCTGGCAATGGTGGTATTTGTAGGAGGCAGGGTTGGTTGGGAAGTACCGAGGAAAGTACAGAGATCTCAAAGGCAGGGGTGGGGTTTGCTTGGGAGGTAATGAAGGAAAGTAGAGGGGTCTTTAAGGCAGGGATGGGGTTTGTAGAAGGTAGGGTTGATTTGTAGGTACTGGAGGAACGTAGAGGGATCTCAAAGGCAGGGGTGCGGTTTTGTAGAAGGTAGGATTGCTTGGGAAGTACTTGAGGAAAGTAGAGGGGCAGGGATGGGGTTTGTAGAAGGTAGGGTTGATTTGTAGGTACTGGAGGAAAGTAGAGGGATCTCAAAGGCAGGGGGTGCGGTTTGTAGAAGGTAGGATTGCTTGGGAGGTACTTGAGGAAAGTAGAGGGGTCTTTAAGGCAGGGATGGGGTTTGAGAAGGTAAGGGTTGATTGGGAGGTACTGGAGAAAAGTAGAGGGGTCTTTAAGAAGGGATGGGGTTTGTAGGAGATAGGGTTGATTGGAAAGTAATAGAGGAAAGTAGAGGGGTCTCTAAGGCAGGGATGGGATTTTTAGGGGGTAGGATTGATTGGAAAGTAACAGAGGAGGGGTTGGTTATAGGGTACTGGAGGAAGGAAGAAGTATCTCTGAGGCAGGGGTGGGGTTTGTAGGTAGTAGGATTGATTGGGAGGAACTGAGGGAGATCTGTAAGGCAGGGATAGAGTTTGTAGGAGGTAGGGTTGATTGGTAAGTATTGGTGGAAAGTAGAGGAGTCTCTAAGGCAGGGATGGGGTTTGTAGGAGGTAGGGTTTATTGGGAGGTAGTGGAGGAAAGTAGAGAGGTTTCTAAGGCAGGTATGGGGTTTGTAGGAGGCAGGGTTGGTTGGGAGGTACTGGAGGAAAGAACAAGGGATCTCTGAGGCAGGGCTGGGGTTTGTAGACAGGGTTGGATTGATCGGAGGTACTGAGGGAAAGTAGAGGGGTTTCTGAAGGGCTGGTATGGGTTTGTAGGAGGTTGGATTCGATGGGAGGTACTGGAGGGAAAGTAGAGGGGTCTCTAAGGTAGCGATGGAGTTTGTAGGAGGTAGGGTTGATTGGGAGGTAACTGGAGGAAAGTAGAGGGGTCTCTAAGGCAGGGATGTGGTTTGTAGGAGGTAGGGTTGGTTGGAGGTACTGGAGGAAAGAACAAGGGATCTCTGAGGCAGGGGTGGGGTAGTAGACCGTACGATTGATCGGGAGGTACTGAGGGAAAGTAGAGGGGTTTCTAAGGCAGGTATGGGGTCTGTAGGAGGCAGGGTTTGTTGGGAGGTACTGGAGGAAAGTAGAGGGGTCTCTAAGGTAGCGATGGGGTTTGTTGGAGGTAGGGTCAGTTGGAAGGTACTGGAGGAAAGTTGGGGGGTCTCTAAGGTAGGGATAGAGTTTGTAGGGAGGTAGGGTTGGTTGGGAAGTACTGAAGGAAAATAGCGGGGTCTCTAAGGCAGGGACGGAGTTTGTAGGAGGTAGGGTTGGTTAGGAGGTACTAGGGAAAGAACAAGGGATCTCTGAGGCAGGGGTGGGGTTTGTAGACAGTAGGATTGATTGGGAGGTACTGAGGGAAAGTAGAGGGGTTTCTAAGGCAGGTATGGGTTTTGTAGAAGGTAGGGTTTGTTGGGAGGTACTGGAGGAAAGTGTAGGGGGTCTCTAAGGTAGCGATGAGGTTTGTTGGAGGCAGGGTCAGTTGGAAGGTACTGGAGGAAAATAGGGGGGTCTCTAAGGCAGGGATGGAGTTTGTAGGAGGTAGGGTTGATTGGGAGAAACTGGAGGAAAGTAGGGGGGTTTCTAAGGGAGGGGTGGGATGTGTAATGTGAGGTTAGTGTTGGTGCAATAAAGGAAATGGGAGGAGTCAGCACTACAACAGGGGAGGAGTCAGTATGGGAGCAGTCATGATCATGTTGTAAACTGTTGTTTCTCTTTCAGTTGTTCTACGATCTGTCTCACTATGCATTCATAACCTAATTCCGCAGTGTGCAATGCTCTACTGTCCTGTGAGAATGTTATATAGGGAGCATCTTAACTGACCCACTGCTGAGCCAATCATCACTGTACTACTCACCAATCACATGACCTCATCATGTTATCAGTTTCTAATAATATGGGAGGAGGGAATGGACAGGACGTACTAGTAGCATGCGTATTATTTTTTTTCTCATTCCTCCATAATCAGGAAAGAATATGAAATACATATAAAGGAAACATCAGGCCACTCAGAAGCTATATTCATGTATGGTTGATGAGGACTGTTTTGTTCCCTATGAAAGCTGTCCAGCAATGAGATCCTCCTGCCTTTGTTCATGGTTTTGTTCAGTTCCCCAACACAGGGGCCATTGACCATTTGGAAACTCGGGCACTGCCTGAGGGCCCGGGTCAGTAGGGGGCCCTATGAGATGCCCCTGGTACCTTTTTCATAGGCTTTTTTGAGTTTGGGCAAGGACACAGGGGCCCCATAATCCCCTATTGCCCGGGGGCCCCATGAGTTGTCAGTATGCCCCTGCCCCAACATCTACCAAATGTTGAAATATCAATTCTGGGTGGCTGACTCTTTCATAGATATGTATTGAAATTGCACCTCCTCCACTGTCTCCTCCTCATGTATTGTAGTAATCTACAGGTCCATGTGAAGAATGAGTAGATCACAGATTTGCTAATACGATTCCTCACTTCTCATTCTTCCTACTGGGTGAGGTTGCCAGACATAAGCTTGAAACAGCCCAATATTGGCATCAGGGGCGGACTGACAACTCATGGGGCCCCCGGGCAATAGGGGATCATGGGGCCCCTGTGTCCTTGCCCAAACTCAAAAAAGCCTATGAAAAAGGTACCAGGGGCATCTCATGGGGCCCCCTAATGTCCCCGGGCCCTCAGGCAGTGCCCAAGTTTCCAAATGGTCAGTCCGCCCCTGATTGGCATAAGCACTGGCCAAAACTAGGCCATCTGAAATAGGGTTCAAGGGGGTTCAAGGGATGAAACCTATTATTTATTTATTCATTTGTTGAAATCCATTACTATTGTGATTTGGAAATTCCGATATATCCGAATCTCCAAAGAACGAACATTTTTTCCGAATTCATAACGAAACAAATCGCACGTCTACTTTTCATTTCTTTACCATTTGACAGTTTCCTCTCTCACTGCATGCAGTTTTATGGCAATTGTCTATTTTTGTTGTTTATTTTATATAATCTTTTTTTCACACGTAATCTGTTATAAATTTTGTTTGTTTCACTTTTGTTTTGTTTTTGTTTTTTTTGCCTTCTTCCTCTCTGTTCTTGTTTTTAATTAGCAATTAATTGCCCCGACTCTATGCCCTTCTTTCCCCTCCTCGGCAGTTTTGTCCTGGACAGTCTTTCAAGTTACGGTATAGACGTAAGACACGTTATCAGTCACCCTGGCTCTGAATTCCCGGCTTCCATTGTCATCAGCAACATTACCAATGGGAGCCGAACCATCCTGCACATGAACAGGTGTGTTTCAATGTGAGGTGCATGCGTGTGCAGGTGAGTGTGAGGTATGGGTGAGATGTGTACAGGTCATGTGTGTACAGTGTGAGGTATGGGTGAGATGTGTACAGGTTTGAGGTACAGGTCATGTGTGTACAGGTGTGAGGTGTGGGTGAGATGTGTACAGGTTTGAGGTACAGGTCATGTGTGTACAGGTGTGAGGTATGGGTGAGATGTGTACAGCTGTGAGGTACAGGTCATGTATGTACAGGTGTAAGGTATGGGTGAGGTGTGTACAGGTGTAAGGTATGGGTGAGGTGTGTACAGGTGTGAGGTGTGGGTGAGATGTGTACAGGTCATGTGTGTACAGGTGTGAGGTGTGGGTGAGATGTGTACAGCTGTGAGGTACAGATCATGTGTGTACAGCTGTGAGGTATGGGTGAGATGTGTACAAGTGTGAGGTACAGGTCATGTGTGTACATGTGTGAGGTGTGGGTGAGATGTGTACAGGTGCGAGATACAGGTCCAGTGTGTACAGGTGTGAGGTATGGGTGAGATGTGTACAGCTGTGAGGTACAGGTCATGTGTGTACAGATGTGAGGTATGGGGTGAGATGAGATGTGTACAGGTCATGTGTGTACAGGTGTGATGTATGGGTGAGATGTGTACAGCTGTGAGGTACAGGTCATGTGTGTACAGGTGTGAGGTGTGGGTGAGATGTGTACAGGTTTGAGGTACAGGTCATGTGTGTACAGGTGTGAGGTATGGGTGAGATGTGTACAGGTCATGTGTGTACAGGTGTGAGGTATGGGTGAGATGTGTACAGGTCATGTGTGTACAGGTGTGAGGTGTGGGTGAGATGTGTACAGGTGTGAGGTACAGGTCATGTGTGTACAGATGTGAGGTATGGGTGAGATGTGTACAGGTCATGTGTGTACAGGTGTGAGGTATGGGTGAGATGTGTACAGGTCATGTGTGTACAGGTGTGAGGTATGGGTGAGATGTGTACAGGTCATGTGTGTACAGGTGTGAGGTATGGGTGAGATGTGTACAGGTCATGTGTGTACAGGTGTGAGGTGTGGGTGAGATGTGTACAGGTGTGAGGTACAGGTCATGTGTGTACAGATGTGAGGTATGGGTGAGATGTGTACAGGTCATGTGTGTACAGGTGTGAGGTATGGGTGAGATGTGTACAGGTCAGTGTGTACAGGTGTGAGGTATGGGTGAGATGGGCATACAGGTCATGTGTGTACAGGTGTGAGGTGTGGGTGAGATGTGTACAGGTCATGTGTGTACAGGTGAGGTGTGGGTGAGATGTGTACAGGTGTGAGGTGTGGGTGAGATGTGTACAGCTGTGAGGTACAGGTCATGTGTGTACAGATGTGAGGTATGGGTGAGATGTGTACAGGTGTGAGGTGTACAATTGTGGAGTACAGGTGAGGCATGTACAGGTGCGAGGTATGGGTGAGGGGCATACAATTGTGGAGTACGGGTGAGGGGCGTACAATTGTGGAGTACAGGTGAGGCATGTACAGGTGTGAGGTATGGGTGAGGGGCGTACAATTGTGGAGTACAGGTGAGGCATGTACAGGTGTGAGGTATGGGTGAGGGGCATACAATTGTGGAGTAGGTGGGTGAGGGGCGTACAATTGTGGAGTACAGGTGAGGCATGTACAGGTGTGAGGTTACAGGTGATGTATGGTGTGATATCAGTGTGTGATCTCCATGGCTCAGTGCAGCAGATTTGGGTGACATCTGTTGGGGGATCTAATGGGGGAGTACTGTGACACCTCTCCTCCGGAGATACCAGACTCAATACCAGGGGGTCATGGCTTACACCAGATAAATCTCAGGACAGTAAAGCTTGCTCCACTTCTTCTTTTTCAACCAATCACCTATCTTCTGTAGATTCAGCATATATATACATCTTCCCATCTAACCCATCTTCCCCCGCTGCCCCCAATAGCTTCATCATTTCAGATTTCCGCAAGAGGAACATTGATGCCTCCAATGTGAGCTGGCAGAGCTGGGGTGACACGCCCTGTGCCTGCTGTCTGGTTAATGTCACCAACGGTTCTCGCACCGTCACGCTGTATGACACGTAAGGAACATGGATCTTATTTCTGTATTCCACACAATGATATATAAAATAGCTATGTGTCTCCTGAGTGTGGCCCTAAGGTGGTAGATTTAATGAGGAATGTGTGTTGCTGAGTATGAGAGGATAATGGAAGGGTGATGATGGGGGCGGTGATACCTTCAAAACTTCAGTTCTTGTGTGACTGGATGCTCAGTAACATGGAATTTGTGTCTCTGTGTGGCTCCAATAGATTTGGTGTGGAGTAAGTATTGCGGTGTGAGGATAATGGAAGTGATGATTTGAACCTTCAAAAGTCTCATGTTCTTGTGCTCAGTAACTTTTGACCTGTGATGCCCTAGGGTGGTAGATTTAATGGAACGTTTTATAACTATTTGTGTCTCTGTGTGGGATTAGGTCCAGGGCAATAGATTTGGTGTTGAAGTAAGTATTGCGGAGTATAGTGTGAGGATGGTAATGGATAGTGATGATGGTGGGGTTGTACCTTCAGAACCTCGAGTCTCATGATATTGTGGTGCTCAGTAACATTTGTTTATCCTGTGTGGCCCTAGGGTGGTAGATTTAAAGTGGAGTGAGTGTAGCTAAGTATTGACAAGGATGTTTTTCTCCTGTGTGTGGCCCTAGAGTAGTAGATTCGATGTGGAATGAGTATAGCTGAGTATGACGAGGATAATGGAAGGTAGTGGTGATGGTGTTTGTACCTTCAGAACCTCAAGTCTCATGTTATTGTGGTGCTCAGTAACATTTGATTCTCCTCCGTGTGGCCCTAGGGTGGTAGATTTAAAGTGGAGTGAGTGTAGCTAAGTATGACAAGGATGTTTTCTCCTGTGTGTGGCCCTAGGGTGGTAGATTCGATGTGGATTTAGTATAGCTGAGTATGACGAGGATAATGGAAGGTAGTGGTGATGGTGTTTGTACCTTCAGAACCTCAAGTCTCATGTTATTGTGGTGCTCAGTAACATTTGATTCTCCTCCGTGTGGCCCTAGGGTGGTAGATTTAAAGTGGAGTGAGTGTAGCTAAGTATGACAAGGATGTTTTCTCCTGTGTGTGGCCCTAGGGTAGTAGATTTGATGTGGAATTAGTATAGCTGAGTATGACGAGGATAATGGAAGGTAGTGGTGATGGTGCTGGTACCTTCAGAACCTCAAGTCTCATGTTATTGTGGTGCTCAGTAACATTTGATTCTCCTCCGTGTGGCCCTAGGGTGGTAGATTTAAAGTGGAGTGAGTGTAGCTAAGTATGACAAGGATGTTTTCTCCTGTGTGTGGCCCTAGGGTAGTAGATTTGATGTGGAATTAGTATAGCTGAGTATGACGAGGATAATGGAAGGTAGTGGTGATGGTGCTGGTACCTTCAGAACCTCAAATCTCATGCGATGGTGGTGTTCAGTAACATGTTTAGAGAATAACAAAGATATTGGTGATGGTGGTGGTACCTTCAGAACTTCAGATCTCGTTTGATTGTGGTGCTCAGTAACATGTTTCATGTAATTGGCGTAATTGGCTCCACCTTACGCATTTCGTGCGCACACATGTCTTCAGAGGGGATGCTACTCCTTGTGGAGTAATTGATTTTCAGAGCCCATCAAAGTTTAAAGATCCATCCCAGTATCCAGAAGGGGATTCCCTGTAAACTCAGGCAGCAACACCCACCCATCCCTTAAAGGGGACCTCTGGCTGTTTGGATTGACGTAGTGTCCTGGAGCTTTCTGCCGTGACGCTCGCCCTTCAGAGGGAGGATAGTCCATCACCCGGTTTACCCAGCTTTCCTTAAGAGGACCTCTGGCTATATATTTATATGCGCATTTCTATTGCGCATCTGGTGAGTGTGTAATTTTACTACACCCATTTGCACAAGCACTGGAGTATCATTGGAGCTGGCACCTTTAGAACTCATATTGTCACCTATGAACTTTTACCATTTATTCATTTATGAACTTCCTTATTGCCCATTATTGATTATTTTATTGAGTCATATATATGGAGAATTTTTAGCGCTGCACTGTGATTTATGAGATTAGAGGACCAGCTAGAACATTTTGGTCTGATCATTTTTCTTGGGTTTATTTCATATATATGCACCTTGAGGGTTAGGGACTGATGTGAATGTAGAATATATATATGTAAAGCGCTGAGTAAATTGACGGCGCTATATAAGTACCTGTAATAATAAATAAATATAAAACACAACTGCCCCAAGAGTTTTTGTCTCCTTTAGAACTAGTATAGCCAGCTGCCCTGGGAAAGTTTTTTGTTCTTGATGTTCTATGACTGTAAAGATGTTTTATTAAATTGGAAAGGTCCGCATGTCACTCCCCTTCTCACCGAAGACAGATCACGAACGGCACAGTGAGAAGTTGTCCTCAAAAATTCCATCTGCCCTTGGACAGATGTGGGTTAATGGATATGCTTTCTGCTTTATAATCATCAAATGGCTTTGATCAGTTTGAGGCTTTTGTTGGTTTGTGAATGGTTGTCTTGTGTGTAGGACATAACATAAGAAGTAACCTTGTTACATGACTTCACATTCCATACATTGTTGCCAGAACAGCAGGAGAATTAATGGGTATTTGTGGAACTCCCAGAGGACAGTGGATCCAATTTTCAGTAGGGGACATGTTTTCAAAGCTGTGGTTTTCATCACCAAACCATAAATTGTGCTAAAAGTTTCAAATCCAGGTAAATTTACAGAGCTAAGAGATTAACATTTAAGCTCATGCAAACTTGGCTGAGGTAGAGCCTGGGCTGGATAACCCTGGTGGCTCTGATGTTGTAAACCCTGAGTGTAGAAGAGCATGGAGATCAGTTATATTTAGCTGTCCACCATCTTCAGTGCTCCCTATAAATGGGAACACTGAGCGAGCTCTGGGCCGGATAACCCTGGTGGACCTGGTTTTGTAGATCCTGAGTGTAGGAGGACCTAAGGATCAGTTATATTTAGCCCTCCACCACCTTCCATTCCCAGTGTAAATGGGAACATTGAGTGAGGTCTGGGGTGCATAACCCTGGTGGACTTGGTCTTGTAGACCCTGAGTGTAGGAGAGCATGGAGATCAGATCAGTTATATTTAGCTGTCCACCATCTTCAGTGCTCCCTATGAATGGGAACACTGAGCGAGCTCTGGGCCGGATAACCCTGGTGGACCTGGTTTTGTAGATCCTGAGTGTAGGAGGATCTAAGGATCAGTTATATTTAGCCCTCCCCCACCTTCAATGCTCACTGTAAATAGGAACAATGCGTGTGGCCTGGGCCGATAACCCTAGTGGCTCTCATCATGTAGACCCTGAGTGTAGGAGAACCTAAGCATCAGTTATATTTAGCCCTCCACCACCTTTCATGCCCAGTGTAAATGGGAACATTGAGTGAGGTCTGGGGTGCATAACCCTGGTGGACTTGGTCTTGTAGACCCTGAGTCTAGGAGTACATTGAGATCGGTTATATTGAGCCCTCCACCCTCTTCAGTGCTTACTGTAAATGGGAACATTGAGTGAAGCCTGGGCCAGATAATCCTGGTGGCTCTGGTCTTGTACACCCTGAGTGTCGGAGGACGTTAAGGATCAGTTATATTTAGCCTTCAACCACCTTCCATGCCCACTGTAAGTGGGAACATTTACTGAGCTGCATAACCCTGGTCCTGTAGAAATATGAGTGTAAGAGGACCTAAGGATCAGTTATACTTAGCCTTCCACCACCATTCCCAGTGTAAATGGGAACATTGAGTGACGTCCTTGGTGCATAACCAAGTTGGACCTGGTCTTGTAGACCCTGAGTTTAGGAGTACATTGAGATCACTTATATTTAGCCCTCCAACACCGTCAGTGCTCACTGTAAATAAGAACAATGAGTGAGGCCTGGGCCAGATAACCCTGGTGGCTCTCATGTTGCAGACCCTGAGTGTAGGAAGACATAAGGATCAGTTACAGTCATGGCCGAAATTGTTGGCACCCTTGATATTTTTCCTGAAAATCAAGTATTTCACACAAAAAAGGTATTGCATTAACACATGTTTTGCTATACACATGTTTATTCCCTTTGTATGTATTGGAACAAATATAAAACAGAGGCAGAAAAGCAAATATGACATAATGTCACACAAAACCCCAAAAATGGGCTGGACAAAAGTATTGGCACCCTTAACTTAATATTTGGTTGCACACCCTTTGGAAAACATAACTGAAATCAGTCGCTTCCTATAACCATCAATAAGCTTCTGACACCTCTCACCCGGAATTTTGGACCACTCTTCCTTTGCAAACAGCTCCAGGTCTCTCTTATTGGAAGGACACCTTTTCCCAACAGCAATTTTAAGATCTCTCCACAGGTGTTCAATGGGATTTAGATCTGGGCTCATTGCTGGCCACTTCAGAACTCTCCAGCGCTTCTTTGCCATCCATTTCTGAGTGCTTTTTGACGTATGTTTGGGGTCATTGTCCTGCTGGAAGACCCAGGATCTTGGACGCAAACCCAGCTTTCTGACACTGGGCCCTACAGTGCGACCCAAAATCCTTTGGTAATCCTCAGATTTCATGATGCCTTGCACACAGTCAAGGCACCCAGTGCCAGAGGCAGCAAAACAACCCCAAAACATCATTGAACCTCCACCATATTTTACCGTAGGTACTGTGTTTTGTTCTTTGTAGGCCTCATTCCGTTTTCGGTAAACAGTAGAATGATGTGCTTTACCGAAAAGCTCTATCTTGGTCTCATCTGTCCACAAGACGTTTTCCCAGAAGGCTTTTGGCTTACTCAAGTACATTTTGGCAAACTGTAGTCTTGCTTTTTTATGTCTCTGTGTCAGCAGTGGGGTCCTCCTGGGTCTCCTGCCATAGCGTTTCATTTCATTTAAATGTCGACGGATAGTTCGCGCTGACACTGATGCTCCCTGAGCCTGCAGGACAGCTTGAATGTCTTTGGAACATGTTTGGGGCTGCTTATCCACCATCCGGACTATTCTGCGTTGCAATCTTTCATCAATTTTCCTCATCCGTCCACGACCAGGGAGATTAGCTACAGTGCCATGGGTTGCAAACTTCTTGATAATGTTGCGCACTGTGGACAAAGGCAAATCTAGTTCTCTGGAGATGGACTTGTAACCTTGAGATTGTTGATATTTTGCCACAATTTTGGTTCTCAGGTCCTCAGACAGTTCTCGTCTCCTCTTTCTGTTGTCCATGCTTAGTGTGGCACAGACAGACACACAATGCAAAGGTTAAGTGAACGTCTCTCCTTTTTATCTGCTTTCAGGTGTGATTTCTATATTGCCCACACCTGTTACTTGCCCCAGGTGAGTTTACAGGAGCATCACATGCTTGTAACATTCTTATTTATCCGCAGTTGTGAAAGGGTGCCAATACTTTTGTCCAGCCCATTTTTGGAGGTTTGTGTGACATTATGTCGAATTTGCTTTCTTTCCTCCCTTTTTTTGTTTTGTCCCAATACACACAAAGGGAATAAACATGTGTATAGCAAAACATGTGTTAATGCAATACGTTTCGTGAGAAATACATGATTTCCTGGAGAAATATCAAGGGTGCCAACAATTTCGCCATGACTGTATATTTAGCCATTGACTACCTTCTGTGGCCTGTGTGAAGGAGAACATTGAGTGGGGCCTGATCCACATAACCCACGTGGCTTGGGTTTTCTGGACCCTGAGTTTAGGAGGAGATCAGTTATATTTAGTCCTCCATCAGTGTGCATGGGAACATTCATTGGTCTGTCTAGGTTGTGGTTCTGCTGTTGATGTGTATTAAAAAGACATGGGCTTGTTTTTATGGTTCCCCCATTCATACCTAGATCCTTCTCTCACAAACCTGCAGGAATCTGCCAGATGTTACAGCAGAAAACTTCCAGAAAGTGGACTTGTCCAAATACAAGTGGATTCACTGGGAGGTGAGATAAACCAATGGAGGCTGTTTGGTGGCACAGATAGAAGTTCCAACCACTGTGGTTTTCAGGGAGATGATCATTATAGCAAAGAAAGCAGTACACAGGGGTTATGGGTGGAGGTGTATTGGTCATAGCTCTGGTGATATGGCTGAAGCACACTTGGGATTATGTATGTATTTGATTTTATGATATTTATACTGTTTCCATAATGAAATCTAATCTCTCAGGGCAGGAATGCTGATGAGCAGGTCAAGATGATCCAAAGAGTAGAGGATCACAACAAGGAGTGTCCCCCTGACCAGAAGATCAAAATCTCAGTGGAGATCGAGAAGGAAAGGGAAGAACTATTCCAGCTCTTCCAGCATGGTGACCTGGTGAGGAGATATCTATAATAACACATGGTGATCTGGTGAGGTGATCATTATAATCACACATGGTAATCTGGTGAGGAGATCTCTATAATGATATATTGTGATCTGGTGAAGAGATCTCTAAAATGACACATGGTAATCTGGTGAGGAGATCTCTATAATGTTATATGGTGATCTGGTGAGGAGATATCTATATAATATATGGTGATCTGGTGAGGAGTTCTCTATGATGACACATGGTTATTTGGTGAGGAGATCTCTATAATGACACCTGGTAATCTGGTGAGGAGATCTTTATAATGGCACATGGTAATCTGGTGAAGAGATCTCTATAATGACACATGGTGAACTAGTGAGGATATCTCTATAATGACACGTGGTAATCTGGGGAGGAGAGCTCTATGATGACACATGGTGATCTGGTGAGAATATCTCTATAATGACACCTGGTAATCTGGTGAGGAGAGCTCTATAATGACACCTGGTAATCTGGTGAGGAGAGCTCTATAATGACACCTGGTAATCTGGTGAGGAGATCTCTATAATGACACATGGTAATCTGGTGAGGAGATCTCTATAGTAATGCATGGTGATCTGGTGATGAGATCTCTATAATGATATATGGTGATTTGGTGAGGAGTTCTCTATAATGACCTGTGAGAAGATCACTGCACTGACACATGGTGATCTGCTGGTAAAGGGATTACTATACTGAAACATGGTGATCTGGTGAGGAGATCATTTTACTGATACATGGTGATCTGCTGAGGAGATCACTATACTGAAAAATGAGGGTGGGTTGAGGAGATTCTTATGATTACCATCCTTACCATTCTACACAGGTAAGAGGGAGGAGTCTGCATTATTCAGAACATATCTTACCATTGTATTCAGGTAAAGAGGAGGAGTCTGTATCTTCCGAGACATATATTATGATTCTATACAGGTAATGGGGAGGAGTCTATATGATCCAGATTCCAGGACATACCTTACCATTCTACACAGGTAAAGGGGAGGAGTCTACATCATCTAGGACATACTTTATCATTGTACATAGGTAAGGAGGAGGAGTCTGCATCATCCAGGGCATACATTTGTCATTGTATTCAGATAAGGGGGAGGAGTCTGCATCATCCAGGACACACCTTACCATACTACACAGGTAAGGGGAGGAGTCTGTATCACCCTTGACATATCTTTCCATTATATATAGTTAAAAGGGAGTAGTCTGAATGTTACAGGTCTGTATCATCATTCACGTGTATCTTACCATTCATATATACAGGTAAGGGGGTGTAGTCTGTATCATACAGGTAAGGGGGAGGAGTCTGTATCCCATAGGTAAGGGGGAGTAGTGTGAATCATACAGGTAAGGGGGAGTAGTCTGTATCATACAGGTAAGGGGGAGGAGTCTGTATCCCATAGGTAAGGGGGAGTAGTGTGAATCATACAGGTAAGGGGGAGGAGTCTGTATCATACAGGTAAGGGCTAGGAGGAGTCTGTATCCCACAGGTAAGGGGGAGTAGTGTGAATCATACAGGTAAGGGGGAGGAGTCTGTATCCCATAAGTAAGGGGGAGCAGTGTGAATCATACAGATAAGGGGGAGTAGTCTGTATCATACAGGTAAGGGCTAGGAGTCTGTATCCCACAGGTAAGGGGGAGTAGTGTGAATCATACAGGTAAGGGGGAGGAGGAGTCTGTATCCCATAGGTAAGGGGGAGCAGTGTGAATCATACAGATAAGGGGGAGTAGTCTGTATCATACAGGTAAGGGCTAGGAGTCTGTATCCCACAGGTAAGGGGGAGTAGTGTGAATCATACAGGTAAGGGGGAGGAGTCTGTATCCCATAAGTAAGGGGGAGCAGTGTGAATCATACAGATAAGGGGGAGTTGTATCATACAGGTACGGGCTAGGAGTCTGTATCCCACAGGTAAGGGGGAGTAGTGTGAATCATACAGGTAAGGGGGAGGAGTCTGTATCCCATAGGTAAGGGGGAGTTGTGTGAATCATACAGGTAAGGGGGAGGAGTCTGTATCATACAGGTAAGGGGGAGTAGTGTGAATCATACAGGTAAGGGGGAGAATTGTGTATAATATAGAAGATATGTCTGTTTTCCCAGCTGTAATTAATCAGCAGAGTTTGGTGACAGGTTCTCTTGTTTGCTCTCTGTGTCTCGGCAGGTGTTTGTAAGTAAAGACGTAGCTAAGTATCTGGGCTTCCATTCTGCAACCGAGGCAGTTTTTGGTCTGTACCCGCGGGTGCGGCAGGGGTGAGTCTTTCTTCATTATCCCCAGCAGACAGACTGGGGGTTTATTCAGAGGAGACATCTCAGTGTTTTCTTCTTTTCTATTCTTCCTATCCGATTGGCTCACACATTCCACCCTTCCCACCCACTCATTGAGTCCCAGCTCTCTTCTTTCTGATTCGCTGCTATACACATCCACCAATCATTCCTGTTATGTCTCTTTCCCCGCAGGGCGTACCTGGTATGTGCCTGGGCTGAGCAGGGAGCACATGCTTTGGGCCCAGATGGACAGGCGATCCATTCCCCGGCCTTCCCGCCTGATGCCATTGTGGACACATTAGGGGCTGGTGACACGTTCAATGCCTCTGTTATGTTTGCTTTGTCTAAAGGTAGGTACACCAATCCACCAATTAGTACCACTGCTCAGTCATGGCACAGTGGGCAGCAAACATAACAATATCTGACTGCTTTCACCCAGGTGGGGATGTCACTTTGCATCTGTAGGCAGAGCTTATCACCAAAACCACACCAACAGTCTGCACATAGCCAGTGTCTATCCCTTAAATATCCAGTCAAACATGACCAAAGGCTGCCTCTTCACTATCCAGTCACGCACAACCAATGTCTGCCCCTTCACTATCCCATAACCCATGACCAACAGCTATCCCTTCACTATCCGGTCATGTATAACCAATGTCTGCCCCTTCACTATCCCATAACTCATGACCAACAGCTATCCCTTCACTATCCGGTCATGTATAACCAATGTCTGCCCCTTCACTATCCCATAACCCATGACCAACACTATCCCTTCACTATCCGGTCATGTATAACAATGTCTGCCCCTTCACTATCCCTTAACTCATGACCAACAGCTATCCCTTCACTATCCGTCATGTATAACCAATGTCTGCCCCTTCACTATCCCATAACTCATGACCAACAGCTATCCCTTCACTATCCGGTCATGTACAACCAATGTCTGCCCCTTCACTATCCCATAACTCATGACCAACAGCTATCCCTTCACTATCCGGTCATGTATAACCAATGTCTGCCCCTCCACTATCCCATAACTCATGACCAACAGCTATCCCTTCACTATCCGGTCATGTATAACCAATGTCTGCCCCTCACTATCACTCATGACCAACAGCTATCCCTTCACTATCCGGTCATGTATAACCAATGTCTGCCCCTTCACTATCCATAACTCATGACCAACAGCTATCCCTTCACTATCCGGTCATACAGTCTGCCCCTCCTTCATAACTCAGGACCAACAGCTATCCCTTCACTATTCACTATGAGCCCTGAGGAAGTCACATGATATTGTGACGCAACGTGTCGGCCTGACGTGGTGACGCACTTCCGGCGTGGTGGCCATCTTGGTGCACCTTTTTTTGATTCCTGTACACCCATGCAGATTACACCCAAAAGCATAGGGTTGTAAAGCTGTCATCTTTGAGGATGGATGTGAGTTGTCTCCATATGTTTATGGTTTGATTTTTATTAAATTTACCTGCTACACTATGGGAGATTGTGTTTATATTTTTTTGGCACATACCCATATCCCATAAGAGGAGCCACTACTCGATTATCGACCCCTAAAGAAGGATATCTATGGATGGGGAAAGTGGATCAGTGGATATCAGTGGATGCTGAGAGGATTTGAGGGTTTGATCCCACTATACGCTTTGACCTTCACGGGTCGAAGCCTGGAGGTGAGAGGCTAATCTAGCCGTGTGTTGGAGTTTCTGCACCTGGAGTCACTTTAGGATCATGTGTGCTTGCAATTGCAGTAGTGGTGTCACCCACCCATTGGACATTTGTCTACACATTTTTTATTTTTTTATTTTTTTTTTTCGTTTGTGTTTTAGTGTGATATTTTGTGCACCTTATTTGCATGATTGATCACAGTATAATTATTATAATTATTTATTGCTTTCATGTGTTAGAAATTGTCACAAAGATTGTTAATACACAGTATTTATATATTGTGTTTTTTATATATATGATATTAGTTTAATATATATTTTTTGATCACTATGACCACTTGATTATCATATGTATATTTATCTCACAAGGTGCATTGCATGTGTTATATATATTTTAAATAATTTGTTTGGATTAGCATTTTTTATGAGTAGCGCCACACTTTTTTGATTTTTATTTCTTTTTGATCATGGGTATTTGATGTAGTGTTGGCGGCTTCTCTCTTAAGTTGATTACAACATTTTTTTGGGGGTTTAGTAGTGTGGGAGATTCACACCATCCCTGTTTATATTTTTTCTTTCAGTAGCGCAGGAGGTTCACACCATTTTTGTTAGTTATCCCTTCACTATCTAGTCACATATAACCAATGTCTGCCCCTACACCATCTGATAACACATGACCAACAACTATCACTTCACTATCCGGTAATGTATAACCAATGTCTGCCCCTTTACTATCCGATAACTCATGACCAACAACTATCCCTTCACTATCCGGTAATGTATAACCAATGTCTGCCCCTTTACTATCCGATAACTCATGACCAACAGCTGTCCCTTCACTATCCAGTCATGTATAACCAATGTCTGCCCCTTCACTATCCCATAACTCATGACCAACAACTATCCCTTCACTATCCGGTCATGTATAACCGATGTCTGCACTTCACTATCCAATAACAAATGACCAACAGCTATCCCTTCACTATCCGGTCATGTATAATCAATGTCTGCCTCTTCACTATCCGATAACTCATGACTAACAGCTATCCCTTCACTATCCAGTCATGTATAACCAATGTCTGCCCCTTCACTATCCCATAACTCATGACCAACAACTATCCCTTCACTATCCGGTCATGTATAACCAATGTCTGCCTCTTCACTACCCAATAACAAATGACCAACAGCTATCCCTTCACTATCCGGTCATGTATAACCAATGTCTGCCTCTTCACTACCCAATAACTCATGACTAACAGCTATCCCTTCACTATCCGGTCATGTATAACCAATGTCTGCCCCTTCACTATCCAATAACACAGGACCAACAACTATCCCTTCACTATCTGGTAATGTATAACCAACGTCTGCCCGTTCACTATCCGATAACTCATGACCAACAGCTGTCCCTTCACTATCCAGTCATGTATAACCAATGTCTGCCCCTTTTCACTAACCGATAACTCATGACCAACAGCTATCCCTTCACTATCTAGTCATGCACAACCAATGTCTGCCCCTTCACTATCCCATAACCCATGACCAACAGCTATCCCTTCACTATCTAGTCATGCACAACCAATGTCTGCCCCTTCACTATCCCATAACCCATGACCAACAGCTATCCCTTCACTATCTAGTCACGCACAACCAATGTCTGCCCATTTACTATCCCATAACTCATGGCCAACAGCTGTCCCTTCACTATCCGGTCATGTATAACCAATGTCTGCCCATTTACTATCCCATAACTCATGACCAACAGCTGTCCCTTCACTATCCGGTCATGTAACTCACCAATGTCTGCCCCTACACCATCTGATAACTCACCATCTGATAACTCAATGGACCAACCCAGCTCATCCCTGTCACTTCATCTATCACATATAACCAATGTCTGCCCCTACACCATCTGATAACACATGACCAACAGCTATCCCTTCACTATCCACATGTATAACCAATGTCTGCCCTTCACTCCGTAACTCATGTAATGTATAAACATTGTCTGTCTGCCCAACGTCTTCACTATCCAATGTCTGATAACTCATGACCAACAGCTGTCATGCCCCAATTCATCCCATATCCATAGTCATATCTAGTATAAACCAATGTCTGCCTCTTCACTACCCATAACTCATGACCAACAACTATCCCTTCACTATCCGGTCATGTCATGTATGCCCCTCCAAATCCGATGTCTGCACTTCACTATCCAATAACACCATCTGATAACACATGACCAACAGCTATCCCTTCACTATCCGGTCATGTATAACCAATGTCTGCCCCTTCACTATCCAACAATTATCCAGTCATGATAACCAATGTCTGCCCCTTCACTATCCCATAACTCATTATCCCTTCACTATCCGGTCATGTATAACCAATGTCTGCCCTTCACTATCCCATAATTACCAACAGCTAGGACCAACAGCCCCTACTATCCCATTCACTATCCCTTCATTATCCGGTCATGTATAACCAATGTCTGCCCCTTCACTATCCCATAATATAGGACCAACAGCTATCCGTTCACTATCCGGTCATGTATAGCCAATGTCTCATATCCGAACCAATCCGTCATGTATAGCCAATGTCTTCCCCTTCACTATCCGATAACTCATGACCAACAACTGTCCCTTCACTATCCGGTCATGTATAGCCAATGTCTTCCCCTTCACTATCCCATAACCCATGACCAACAGCTATCCCTTCACTATCCGGTCATGTATAACCAATGTCTGCCCCTTCACTATCCCATAACTCATGACCAACAGCTATCCCTTCACTATCCGGTCATGTATAACCAATGTCTGCCCCTTCACTATCCCATAACTCATGACCAACAACTATCCCTTCACTATCCGGTCATGTATAAAACCGATGTCTGCACTTCACTATCCAATAACAAATTACCAACAGCTATCCCTTCACTATCCGGTCATGTATAACCAATGTCTGCCCCTTCACTATCCCATAACTCATGATCAACAGCTATCCCTTCACTATCCGGTCATGTATAACCAATGTCTGCCCCTTCACTATCCCATAATTTAGGACCAACAGCTATCCGTTCACTATCCGGTCATGTATAGCCAATGTCTTCCCCTTCACTATCCGATAACTCATGACCAACAACTGTCCCTTCACTATCCGGTCATGTATAGCCAATGTCTTCCCCTTCACTATCCGATAACTCATGACCAACAACTGTCCCTTCACTATCCGGTCATGTATAGCCAATGTCTTCCCCTTCACTATCCCATAACCCATGACCAACAGCTATCCCTTCACTATCCGGTCATGTATAACCAATGTCTGCCCCTTCACTATCCCATAATTTAGGACCAACAGCTATCCGTTCACTATCCGGTCATGTATAACCAATGTCTTCCCCTTCACTATCCGATAACTCATGACCAACAACTGTCCCTTCACTATCCGGTCATGTATAGCCAATGTCTTCCCCTTCACTATCCGATAACTCATGACCAACAACTGTCCCTTCACTATCCGGTCATGTATAGCCAATGTCTTCCCCTTCACTATCCCATAACCCATGACCAACAGCTATCCCTTCACTATCCGGTCATGTATAACCAATGTCTGCCCCTTCACTATCCCATAACTCATGACCAACAGCTATCCCTTCACTATCCGGTCATGTATAACCAATATCTGGCGCTGCACTATCACATAACTTAGGACCAACAGCTATCCCTTCACTATCTGGTCATGTATAGCCAATGTCTGCCCCTTCACTATCCCATAACTTAGGACCAACAGCTATCCCTTCACTATCCGTTCATGTAAAACCAATGTCTGCCCCTTCACTATCCCATAACCCATGACCAACAGCTATCCCTTCACTATCCGGTCATGTATAACCGATGTTTGCCCCTTCACTATCCAATAACAAATGACCAACAACTATCCCTTCACTATCCAATCATGTATAACAGATGTCTGCCCCTTCCCTATCCAATAACAAATGACCAACAACTATCCTTTCACTATCCAATCATGTATAACCAATGTCTGCCCCTTCACTATCCAATAACAAATGACCAACAACTATCCTTTCACTATCTGGTCATGTATAACCAATGTCTGCCCCTTTATTATCTGATAACTCATGACTAACAACTATCCCTTCAGTATCCAATCACACGTGACTAGTGTCTGCCCCTTCACTATCCGATAACTCATGACCAACATCTTTCCCTTCACTATCTGGTCACTCATGGCCAATATATGCCTCTTCACTAACCAGTCCCACATGACCAGTAACTACCTCTTTTAGGATAAGACCAAAACCTACCCTTCCCTCTGCCATCCTGAAAGAGGAAAACTCAAGCCCCATGGAAGTCATAGCCAACAATAATGGCACAGATCATAGGAAAAGTGGTGTTAAATTGGCTCTCTTCTATAAGCTGGTGAGAAGATTGTGTTTGGCGAAGGTGTTACCCTGAACTTTCTGCCCTTAGGTCAGACTATGCAGGAGGCGCTCACCTTCGGCTGTCGTATAGCGGGTAAGAAGTGCGGTATACAAGGCTATGATGGGATTATTTCATGATCCAGCCAGAACAATGACACAGACAACAGAAAATGTCGAGCCAATTGGTGGAGGAGGAGAAGAGCCTGAAACACCCACACGTCGTCTGTGAGCTGCCTAGTTGGCTCCCACATAGACCTTGAGGAGGTTACTCTCGGGTCATGCAGTGCTGATGGCTTCTGTTTGGTATTTAGAAAGTTTCAACACTGTGATGAAAGCCTATTGAGGTCTGCTAACAATTTGAAATCAGCTGTCCCATTACGATCCATGTTTAACTTCCCCAACCTGGAGCTGAGTGGTCCTCAAAGAGCTTCAAGATGGAGCTGGAGGAGAGCCAAGTTGAAGCCCATGTGTACAAGCCTTATATACCCATAGACAGGACTTCATGATTCACCAATAGATGACGATCTAACGGAAGGATCACAAAGACAACAGATCACTTAGAATGCACACATTTTTGTAGACCAAGTTTTCTGTCTGGAGATGTCTCCAGAGTAGGCCAGCAAAGAGTTCCTCGGATATTCCTCTTGGAGAGCTGGACAGAAGACAGCTAGTTATGGATTTGGTCTACTGTCCTCAAATCTTTTGTCTGCCCAAACAGAGGACAGAGTTTTTCCATTATAAATTGCCAGCTTGAGCCAAAAACCTCCTGCAAAATATTTAGTTTTTAGTGTGTTAGTATTCTCTCCAATCCTTCCATTAGATCTTCACCGTCCCCCGTTACACCATTGTGAACATTCCCTGACCATTCCCTTATGTAAATATGTGTCATGTTCTGCTGGGACCACCCTCATCGTTGTATGATAATGAAAGAAATAGATTTACAATAAATTCTCTCCATAAACAGTGGTCTCTTCTATGTGTCATTGGTGAACTGGACCTTGTCCTTGGACAGTAGGCCTACCCACTGTGGGACTGACTGCTTTAAGGCTGCATTCACACTTGAGCATGGTTAATTAATGGTTAACGGTTTTCTCATGTTTTTGCATGCGATTTTGCACATTTTCATTCAGCGTTTTTAGGCGTTTTTGAGCTTTGGTGATTTTATTTTATTAGCAGAAAAATTGCATCTGTTGCTAGGTTTTTACATTTTTTTAGCTTTTCCATTAGCTTCTATTTTTTTATTGTTATTATTCATATACTTATTTTGTTAGGGTTAGGGTGTTAAAAATACTACTACTACTACTAATAATAATAATAATAATAAAAATAATAATAAATAAATACAATAAATGAATACTATGTAATAATAAATAAAGAATAATTAACCCCTAATCTTCACCCCCAACCCTTAAAAAAGAAATAAATTATTATTATTATTAATAATAATAATAATAATAATAATAATAAAATATTAAAATAATAAATAAACACCCTAGCACAAGATAAATTATTATTATTATTATTATTATCATTATGAGTAGTAGTACTAGCAGTATTATTGTTATTATTATTATTTTTAATAATAATATAATAATAATGTATTTTTTTTATTTATTGTTCTGGTATATATATATATATATATATATATATATATATATATATATATATATTTTATTTATTAACAATAATAATAATAATAATAATATAAATATTAAAATAATAAATAAACACCCTAGCACAAGATAAATTATTATTATTATTATTATCATTATGAGTAGTAGTACTAGCAGTATTATTGTTATTATTATTTTTTATTATTAATAATAATAATAATAATAATAATAATAATAATAATAATAATGTATTTTTTTTTTTAATTTATTGTTCTGGTATATATATATATATTATGTATATATATATATATATATATATTTATTAACAATAATAATAATAATATTATTATTAATATTAATAATTAATTTAATTTTGCTAGGGTTAGGGGTTTATTATTATTTGCTTATTATTTTATATTATTCATTTATTTTTTTAGTTTATTATTTATATATGATTATTTTAATTTAATTTGTGTATTTGTTTTATTTTACATTTATTTATTCATATATTAATACTATTTTTTGTTTTTCATTTTGTCATTTGAGCAGAAAATCCTGCAAATACGTGCAAAAACACACATTTCCATTCATTTTTATGGGACTAAAAATGTGCCAAAAAATGTGCACAATTGAGCTACAAAAAAAACCTCCAGAACTTGTTTGAACGTCAGGTGTTTGGCTTCAGGCGACTTTGAGTGGAACTGTGAACAATCTCCACTGAGAATAATTGATTTTTGCTCCTCAAACATTTTGGAGCTTGGAGTTACAAAACGCTCAGGCGTGAGTGGAGCCTAAGGTGCCATTTATACAGTCGGGAATTTCTATATCACAGATAATTCAGAGATCCAGCTGATGGATCGGTTGGTTTGGTAAAATATTCTCAGCCATTCGGGCAGCTTTATTGAGTAGCGCAGGTATGTGTTGCTTATAGGTCAGATGTATCATAGAGATGGCAACAAATTGAGATGGCATGTTTTTTTTTTTTAATGAATACAAGAAGTTCTTTGATTGGATGAGGTGGAGAGAGGGTGGCAATGTCACTATCTCTACCTCATCCAATAGGAGAATGCTTTGTATTTGGATGTTCTGTGGATGGTGTCAGTGCTAAGTAGGCTCTGAATATCCCCAAACAGTGTTGTTACCCTATGGATAAATATCCAGCTTGCTGGGTGAGCTGTGGAGGAGTATCATGACACTGGTGAGAATTATCTGTGCCCTTCCTTAGCACAGCTACCTGACCACCTTTCCCTCCAGTCCCCAGTGCCAAAAACATGTTAGACTGACAGTATCGAACATTGCAGAGGAGCCTGAAGAGCTCTCAGAACATAGACTTCAACTTTCTGGCTGATTCTGGGTAGTAGAAAAAACAGACATTTAGAGTATCAACCCCTCTGCCCCTCCCACAATGATGACATTTCCATGCAGTAGGTTGTGTCTCTGCCCCTCCCACAATGGTGACATTTCCCTGCTGTAGGTTGTATCTCTGCCCCTCCCACAATGGGGTGATTTCCCTGCAGTAGGTTGCGCCTCTGCCCCTCCCACAATGGTCAAATTTCCTTGCAGTAGTTTGTGTCTCTGCCCCTCCCACAATGGTAAGATTTTCCAACAATAGTGTGTCTCTGCCCCTCCCACAATAGTCAGATTTCCCCAGTAACTTTTGTCTCTGCCCCTCCCACTATGGTGAGATTTCCCCCCAGTAGCTTGTGTCTCTGCCCCTCCCACTATGGTGAGATTTCCCCCCAGCAGTTTGTGTCTCTGCCTCTCCCACAATGGTGAGATTTCCCTGCAGTAGGTTTTGTCCATGCCCAGGGGCGTACTGACAATTCATGGGGCCCCCGGGCAATAGGGGATCATGGGGCCCCTGTGTCCTTGCCCAAACTCAAAAAAGCCTATGAAAAAGGTACCAGGGGCATCTCATGGGGCCCCCTACTGACCCCAGGCCCTTGGGCAGTGCCCGAGTTTCCAAATGGTCAGTCCACCCCTGTCTCTGCCCCTCCCACAATGGTGAGATTTCCCTGCAGTAGGTTGTGTCTCTGCCCCTCCCACAATGGTGAGATTTCCCTGCAGTAGGTTGTGTCTCTGCCCCTTCCACAATGATGAGATTTCCCTGCAGTAGTTTGTGTCTCTGCCCCTCCCACAATGGGGAGATTTCCCTGCAGTAGGTTGTGTCTCTGCCCCTCCCACAATGGTGAGATTGCTCCCAGTAGCTTGTGTCTCTGCCCCTCCCACTATGATGAGGTTTCCCCCAAGTAGTTTGTGTCTCTGCCCCTCCCACAATGGTGAGATTCCCCCAGTAGCTTGTGTCTCTGCCCCTCCCACTATGGTGAGATTTCCCCCAGTAGTTTGTGTCTCTGCCCCTCCTACTAAGGTGAAATTTCCCCCAGTAGCTTGTGTCTCTGCCCCTCCCACAATAGTGAGGTCCTCCTGTATTAGTTTCACAAAGCCAAGCTCCCTAATTACCATTCTACAATCAGGAGGGTTTAAAAGAAGCAGAGTGACACCATAATGTAGCTTTGTATCGATCGGGTCTATTGGGTGGAGCTTGAATATTATGGTCATTTAAGCACCGGGGTTGCTAAGATAGACCAATGAAGCTCCAGTGTGATTGCTCTCACCAATGTGAATCTGAGTGATATTCCAGCTTTGAGTGGAGTTGAACTCTAACGATGAAGCATTACAATTGGTCAAACCTTTCCAACATTCCATTTTATTGTCGTTCAATCCATCACCAATACACCATGAGGTCCTCTGAGGTCAGCTGAAGACTCCCAAGAATGTTCTTTTGGCACCACATCAGAATCATTTAATCTGAGCAAAGTTCAATGGTAGTTCTTGGCCAAGGGTCACGTGCCAGGCTGAGGGCCAATTCACCGGTACTCAGAACAAATAAAGGCATTTCCATTCCCCGTGTTGTTGTGTCGTCATCTTTTCTAAGGAACGTTTAGGACAAATAGATGGAGCTCATATATCTCCACCGTAGGAAAGATCTAAGCTGTGCCTTTCTCCAATCTTTAACTTTCCATCTGTTTCCTTCAACAAAGTATCTGATTGGCACTAGCTTTTGCCTCCCGTGAGGGGAGTTTTTTTTTTAATAGTGGCTTTCTCTGTGGTCACCATGCAGATGACCTCAGGTATTTCAGTGGCATTGAGGAGCAAGAACGTTTACATCTCATCCTCAGATACAGCCTTGTCCTGGTTGAATTGTTTCTCTCCATCCACTTCCGTTGGCTCCTCCACTTCTTCACTCTCATTGGTTCTCTCTACTGATGCAGCTTCATGATCGATCACAGCAGGCTCCTCTGCTTCTTCTTGGGACAGGGCAGGCTCATGGGTCTGCTCTTTTATATTGTCCTTGGATATTTCCTCCTGATCAGCAGCTTCTGACGCATTGGTAGTGTTAGTCTGTATATGATCCTTATCCTCTGAGGCTCCAGGGTGGGCCCCCGGAGGGATGGGGATGGCCATATTAACAGTTGGTGAGTCCTCGGCTTTAGAGATTGGCGTTGTGACAAGTTCCTGGGCGCTAAGTAGACCATCCTGGTTGAGGTCTTGTTTCACCAAAATGTCATCTACCAGAGAAATGACCTGCAGGAAAGGAGCAAAGCCTACATTGATATAGGGCAGATATTTATTGTTCAGTAAATGCAGTGTATGTGCAGATCAATACATTTACATTGATAATTCATTGATTAGATCTACTACTCATTAGAAACCAACGGGTGGACTGACCATTTGGAAACTTGGGCACTGCCCGAGGGCCCGGGGTCAGTAGGGGGCCCCATGAGATGCCCCTGGTACCTTTTTCATAGGCTTTTTTGAGTTTGGGCAAGGACACAGGGGCCCCATGATCCTCTATTGCCTGGGGGCCCCATGAGTCATCAGTCTGCCCCTGGAGACCAACATGACTAAGAACCAAAGATGAAGACTTCTCTGCATGAAATATGAAGGATGTATATGTGGCAATTCCTGGATCTGATTATCAGCAAACAGCTGCTTCAACTTTTATCACATTTCGGTCTTTTTTGGCTGCTAATATTAAAGCAGAAAAAATGTAAAACTAGACACAAAAAAAACATAAAAATTCCTCAAAATTAAAAGTAATATAGAAATTATTAGTAAGAGGATGAAATACCTCAACAAAAAGGAGAGGAATTGTCCCAACAATAAATGAAGGAACTACCCAAAGATTAAGAGGAGAAATTGCCCCAACAATACGGAGAAGAATTGCTCTAACAAAATAGGAGATGAATTGCCCTCAAAAAAGGAAGGAAATTGCCTTATCAATAAGAAGAGGAATTGCCCCAACAATAAACACAGGAATTGCCCAAAAATAGAAGGAGAAATTCGCTAACATGAAAAGGAGGAATTGCCCAAACAATTACCAGAAAAATTGTCCTAACAAAAAAGAGAGAAATTGCCCCAACAATCGGAGAAGGAATTACCCCAACAATAAAGGGAGGAATTGCCCCAACAATAAGAGGAGGAATTACCCCAACAATAAAGGGAGGAATTACCCCAACAATAAAGGGAGGAATTGCCCCAACAATAAGAGGAGGAATTGCACCAGCAATAAGAGGTGGAATTGCCCCAATAATAAGAGGAGGAATTGCCCCAACAATAAAGGGAGGAATTGCCCCAACAATAGGAGGAATTGCACTAGCAATAAGAGGAGTATTTGCACGAACACTACTGTAATAGGAGGAACAATAAAAAGAGGAATTACCCCAACAATAAATGGATGAATTACACAAAGATTAAGAGGAGAAATTGCCCCAACAATACAGAGGAGAATTGTCCTAAAAAAAAGGAGAGGAATTGCCCCCAAAAAAGGAGAGGAATTGCCCCATCAATAAGAAGAGGAATTGCCCCAACAATAAACACATCAATTGCCCAAAAATAGAAGGAGCAATTCCCTAACAATAAGAGGAATTGCCCAAACAATTACCAGAAAAATTGTCCTAACAAAAAAGAGAGAAATTGCCCCAACAATCGGAGAAGGAATTGCCCCAACAATAAAGGGAGGAATTGCCCCAACAATAAGAGGAGGAATTACCCCAACAATAAAGGGAGGAATTGCCACAACAATAAGAGGAGGATTTGCCCCAACAATAAGAGGAGGAATTGAACTAGCAATAAGAGGAGGAATTGCACTAGCAATAAGAGGAGTATTTGCACGAACACTAATAGCAGGAACAATAAGAAGAGGAATTGCCCCAACAATAAATGGAGGAATTACCCAAAGATTAAGAGGAGAAATTGCCCCAACAATACAGAGGAGAATTGCCCTAACAAAAAAGGAGAAGAATTGCCCCAAAAAAAGGAAAAGAATTGCCCCATCAATAAGAAAAGGAATTGCCCCAACAATAAACACAGGAATTGCCCAAAAATAGAAAAACAATAAGAGGAATTGCCCCAACAATTAGCGGAAAAATTGCCCTAAAAAAAGAGAGAAATTGCCCCAATAATCGGAGGAGGAATTGCCCCAACAATAAGAGGAGGAATTACCCCAAGAATAAGAGGAGGAATTACCCCAACAATAAAGGGAGGAATTGCCCCAAGAGGAGGAATTGCACCAGCAATAGGAGGAGGAATTGCATTAACAATAAGAGGAGTATTTGCACGAACACTACCGGTAATAGGAGGAACAATAAGAAGAAGAATTGTCCCAACAATAAATGGAGGAATTACCCAAAGATTAAGAGGAGAAATTGCCCCAACAATATGGAGGAGAATTGCCCTAACAAAAAAGGAGAGGAATTGCCCCCAAAAAAGGAAAGGAATTGCCCCATCGATAAGAAAAGGAATTGCCCCAACAATAAACACAGGAACAATAAGAGGAGGAATTACCCCAACAACAAAGGGAGGAATTGCCCCAACAATAAGAGGAATTGCACCAGCAATAGGAGGAGGAATTGCATTAACAATCAGAGGAGTATTTGCATGAACACTAATAGGAGGAACAATAAGAAGAAGAAATGCCCCAACAATAGGATGAGGAATTCCCCCAAAAAATGGAGGACATGTCCCAAAAATAATCAACAGGAATTGCCCCAAGTAGTTTAGTAAATAGCAAAATATTTGCCATGATAAAAAAAAGCTTCTCACAGGGAAAACACTACATCCCACTGAGAAGTATGAGGCACCTTAGAGACCCGGCACTGCTTTTCTCCAGCTAATCCCATTCGACTTCCAACCCACCTTTCCCAGGGTAATCAGAAGTCAATAATGCTTCCTATTCTACCCCTACGACAACACTATACTCTATTCACAATAGAAACATTATCAGGATATTGGTACCTCCCCTGCTCATCTTCTCCTAGTGTCCTACAGGCTTCCAGATGAAGACCAGCACAGACAACACAAGTCCGTCCTGGTGGTCTCTAGCTATCTAGATCAGATTCCATATTGCAAAGTCTATGCAGCATTCTTATCCTCATCCATGAAGATTCAAGACAGTAACAAGTAAACTGGCAATTACTACAAAACCCAACCCCAAATCACAGCACCATGTACGACTTTATGAATTACTTTTCTGGACGTCTGCTCCTCCATTGAGCTCATTACTTTACCACTTTCAAGAGGATCCCCACCAAAGAATTTGAAATTTACCAAATCTTCTGAAGGTTCCCTCTGAAGACTTTTAGCCAGGATTCTGCGAAGAAGACGCATGAGCTCCAGCCCATCCAGAAGTCCACTCTTATCAAAGTCATGGAGGACAAAGAGGTGTAAGATGACTGATGGAGGTAAAAGACAAAAGGGACATTACATGCAATACTGATTACATATTGGAAGAAAAGAAAGATAGAAGAGTATTGCATACAATATAGATAAAAGAACACTCCCAACATTCCAGAATCTCTCAGGACACCAATCAAAATATGGTGAGAGTAAGATTCTGGGACCCTCTCCCATTTTGTAAATCTCATAGTTAAGGATGGAGGCCCACACACCAATCCACAAGCTCTACTGTAGCATTTAGATTAATGTCCAAATTCATTGTCCACCATCACAAGGACATCCTACAGACTGATGTGAAGGACACCATCGTTACCTGGAAATGAAAATAGTTTAATATCTGACCAGTAAGAACTTCTGTGCTTCTAGTAAGGGAACTATGTGGAGAAAGAAAAGAATTCCAACCTATTAAGCTGGCCATACACCTGTAGAATATCATTCAAATATTTTCGGAAAGTTCGATTTTCAGATTGTTAGTGGGGTCATTATGACATTCATTTTGGACTATACCAAAGAGAAAATTTGAAGGAGCAGGATGTTAAATGTTTCTGGAAATACTAACGCTGGTCATAGATAAGTAATTTTTTTGTTCAACCAGTGGTAGATCGACTTCTCTTCAACCACAGTAGCCATACATGGATCAAATTTGGATGGTTCAACAGAGGACTTTCGATCCATTTATGGCCAGCTTAGCAGTGAATGTGGTTTTCGCTCAAAAAACTTTACATATTGTAATGAAACCTGTTCAATTCACTCTAGGATTCCATTCACATATCAGGTCTGGGCAAAATTTTATGGCCTTTGGAAAGAAATTAATTGAGTCCATGATGGAATGAAAAATGTTCTGATGAACAATATTCCTACGAACGTTTGAATGAAATCTAACCATGTGCCCTACTTAATATGAAGTCCTTGGATGTAACCCAGCATCAGATTAAACTTCTTTTGCGAAGCAAACTATCACAAAGGCCTGGAAAACTCCCCACCTCAGTGTTCTAGAAACCAAACATAGAGTCACTAGGGCCATGATGCATGCTAAGGTCGAGACAGTCCTGCAGGATAGGGTGAGTAAGTATGAACAATTGTGGAAACCATGGGTGGACCACCATCTACCAGTCTGCTTTAACAAAACGCTACTATCTCATTGACACACATACTGGTGCGTAACTCTGGAGTTCCCCTTGGGTCTCCTTGTTTGCTCCTCACCCTGGGGACCCCTTCCTCTTTCCTACCCTCTCTTGACACTTCCCCTCTCCGCTCCCTGTCCCTATTTCTTCTTTCTCTGTTCCATGCGCCTCACCCATTTTGGGTTGTCCACTTCCCTAGATGTTATCTTCAGCAGGGACTGTTGAAGACTAAGTCAAGGTGCCCGTAGACTTAGCGAGCAAGCAGTGATCCCTATAGTTACCCCACGATTTTCCGGCATTGTAGCCACTCTTATTATGCTCTTTATACGTTCCCCAGCTCTAGTGGCCTCAATTGTGTACCTGAATTATTTGGACACTATAGCCCTCCAATGTGCAGCAAGGCTTGGCTGGGCGATAGTAGTTAACGCTTTAGGTCATATTGTACCTCTGACTGGCTTTGTAATTGTTCAATTGTCTCCGTTGGGTTGCATCCCAACTGACCTGATGCTACTTTGTGAACCCTTCTATCTGGATTACTTCATAAGCGACAGTTTGTATTATACTTGTTACCTTGTTACTTTTCAATAAAATACTTGAACAAGAGCATCTAACCATGTATGGCCAGCCTAAGGATTTCAAGGAGTGGAAGAAAAACAAACCCATAAAGACTAAGGAATGAGGGAACAGCACATGCCCTGGTGTTGGGAAGGGCTGGGATGAGGGGCATTTACTAAGAATAGGAAATGCTGGTCTATTGGCCATGAGATAGTTCCTCAGTCAGTAACACATGATAGGCTTATATGGCTGCCAGCTCCCCATTCAGAACTGTGATCTTAGAATCCATCAGAGGAAAGTCTTTCAGCACCAGCTTTGGTATTGACTTCCTAAGAGACGCAATGAAAGGTGAGGCTGGAAGATGTGAAGGTGTATCCAGATAAACTATGTCCTTTAGGAACACCCACCTCTCATCATGCCCACCAACCACTGGAGCACCATGGTACTTTTCATGATAAACTTTCTTTAGCCCATAGAAATCTATTCCTACCATTAAAGGTGCACTTGGTCATGCCAGCCCCACAGGCCAATTTTTCCCATTTATCCCCTGCCTATGAGAGCTCTAAATATTGAGGAAGTAAACAAAACTTTGAGGGTTCATAGATTTGTGAGAAGATGAGAAAAAAAGAATCCAAAATGCAAGTAAGTGGTAGGGAACCCAGTCTGGGATACCCCATATTTTAGTCCCTGATCCCTGACAATGGACAGCACCACCCCATCCTTTGGTCTCTCCTATGTCTTCTTGGCTGTATTTCATCAAAAATACTTACCAGTTTCTCTCTTCATGTCAGAAGTGTTTTCTTCCATAGGGTCTTCATCTTGCAGATATCCCTGTAGAAGACTGAACAGCAGAACATAAGATTTAGAAAGTGCCCACCATCTCTTCTGTATGCCTCACATGAATGAGAATCAGTGCCGGGACAAGGCCATCCAGCGCTCAGGGAAAAAATGGCAAACTGCGCTACCCCATTCATGCTGTGCAAGCTTAGGGCATCCTACCCCTAGCAGTCACTCACTTGTCAAAATCACTTCCGCTGTCACTACTCCTGTCAGCCTTGTAACAGCAGGAAGGCACCCCCATCCCTATAGTAAACCATTGCGCCCTGGGCAGCTTCCTCTCCCATCCACCCCTTGTCCTGGCCCTGGTGAGAGTGTTTGTGGATGATTTGCTGAACCCCAGATGTTCCCAGTGTTCAGCGCATACAGCAGTGTGACCACAAGCACTGACAGCCATGTCACAGAAGACACTATGTCCAGAGAAGGTAATATTTAATAGTTTGATGTTACAACAAACCCTAAAACAGGATGCCTTCTAATGTTTGATATGTTCCATAGGAGGATCATCTGAGGAAGAAAATGGACAGGCAGATGTCTTCTAATGTCTAAAACTTTCCATAGGATGACCATTTGGGGAAGAGCATTGACAGGCAGATGTCTTCTAATGTCTAAAATTTCCCATAGGATGACCATCTGGGGAAGAACTTAAAAAGGCAGATGTCTTCTAATGTCTAAAACTTCCCATAGGATGACCATCTGAGGAAGAGCATCGACAGGCAGATATCTTCTAATGTCTAAAATTTCCCATAGGATGACCATCTGGGGAAGAGCATCGACGGGCAGATATCTTCTAATGTCTAAAATTTCCCATAGGATGACCATCTGGGGAAGAGCATCGACAGGCAGATATCTTCTAATGTCTAAAATTTCCCATAGGATGACCATCTGGGGGAGGAACTTAGACAGGCATATGTCTTCTAATGTCTAAATCGTCCCATAAGGTGACCATCTGGAGAAGAGCATCGACAGGCAGATGTCTTCTAATATCTAAAACTCCCTATAGGATGACCATCTGGAGAAGAACGTAGACAGGCAGGTGTCTTCGAATATCTGAAACTTCCCATAGGATGACCATCCATCAAAGAGCATAGACAAGCATATGTCTTTGAATATATAAAACTTCCCATAGGATGACCATCTAGGGAAGGGCATAGACAAACAGATTCCTTCTAATGTCTAAAACTTCCCATATGGTGACAATATGGAGAAGAGCATAGACAGGGAGATGCCTTCTAATGTCTAAAACGTCCCATATGGTCACAATCCGGGGAAGAGTGTAGACAAGCAGATGTCTTCTAACATCTTAAACTTTCCATAGGATGATCACCTGGGGAAGAGCATAGACAAGCAGATGTCTTCTAATGTCTAAAACTTCCCATAGGATGACAACTGAGGAAGAACAAAGAGAGGCAAATGCCTTCTAATGTCTAAACCTTCCCATAGGACTACCTTGTTAGGATGGGCATAGACAGGTAGATGCCTCACCCAACATAGCAGGTAGGAAGACATACTCATCCGGGATTGTGCTAGGTTATCTTCAGCCCAACTACCTACAAAGGTTGTTGGGTAGTCTTTGCCAGGCCAAGACCAGAGGAGGGCTGTGGTAGTCTATATAACATACTGTATATACATGTACGCAAAACAAACACAATGGTATTCCCAATCATCCCCCATATTTTTCCTTCTTTCTTTCAAGCCCCAACATCATTCCCTTCCAGAGGTCTCACCTGAGCTGGTCGGACCCCCGGCGTGAACGGGTTGAGGACATTTTCCTGCACGTCCAACCTGGAAAATGACAGAAAATTGAGAGAGAGAGCTAGCTAATTGGAAGAGGTGGACTAGTCTCATTTGATGAGAAAGGTGTTAAGACCCCCTACGGGACAAACACTAGTTCTCTATTTAGGTAAAAGGTGGTTGGTCTTGTCTGCACCCCCTCCTGTAGTTTTATGCATACAGCCTATAGTGGGTGGGGCCTGCTGAGGCCCTCCCACAGCTCTGCTCTCGTTCCTTGTTCAGGATGACTGGTCTTGTCTCCACCCCCTCCTGTAGTTTTCTGCATACAGGCTGTAGTGGGTGGGGCCTGCTGAGGCCCTCCCACAACTCTGCACTCGTTCCTTGTTCAGGGTGACTGGTCTTGTCTCCACCCCCTTCTGTAGTTTTCTGCATACAGCCTGTAGTGGGTGGGGCCTGCTGAGGCCCTCCCACAGCTCTGCTCTCGTTCCTTGTTAAGGGTGACTGGTCTTGTCTCTACCCCCTCCTGTAGTTTTCTGCATACAGCCTGTAGTGGGTGGGGCCTGCTGAGGCCCTCCCACAGCTCTGCTCTGGCATTGCACAGGAGACATACAGCTCAGTGATGATGTCATTACAACTTTTACAAAGTAATATCTGCATCTGCATTTGCACAGACTTCTGGTGGACACAAAGTGAATTTATATCCTGAGGAATATATTTGAATTTTTTTATTGAGTTCAGATTTAAAGTATATCAGAAGCTAATTTTTTTATTTTTTCTATTAGTTTTGGAGGGAGAAGGGAATGGCCAGAACTCCAGTTATTGATGACTGCACCCCCTTAGTAAAATTTCCCTATTACTTCCTGTACCAAAGTCACAGCAGGGAGCAAGTGAAGTTAGCCAGGTGTCCCCATTGGAAGAAACCTCCCCTATTCCTGTTCTGGTGACAACTGTAACAATTCAGATTCCTTATTGGTGACACCAGGACATATAGAGGGAGAGTCTCTTCAGCAACACAAACCTGATAAGAGATCTTCCCCATCCTGTCCAAAACTACAAAAATCCATTTATGGCTTTAGATACACTAAGCAATTTAATGGCATAAAAAAGACATTTGCTGCATTACATGGACATTTCCCCAGGTATTATCCCTTTAAAAATGCCATATGTACAGAAAAATACTTGTTGATCTGTCAGGAATCCCGTGAGCTCCATATGTAGCACACCTCAAGTTTAGCTAGGGGGAGCTAGTTAGTTTTTGTAGGTAGAGACTGAGTAGTAGCCTGGGATGAGTTAGCCTGGGTGTGAGTCAGCCAGGTTATTGTAGATCAGGGATGAGGGCTCTACAGGTCAGTTCCCTAATACCTCCACCTGCTCTAGAAGCTGGAGAAGTTTCTAGAAGGCAGTGGGTGAGGTGAGGAGAAGCTGATCTGCATACTTAAGAGATCCTGGGCAATCTCCAAGTAGGAGGCTTGGCGTGGGCCTGGTAGTACTAGGGTCGTTGTTTCGAATCCCAACCACGGCACCGCCTGGCTGGAGTTTACATGTACTCCCTGTGCCTGCGTTGGTTTCCTCCGGGTACTCCGGTTTCCTCGCACACTCCAAAGACATACTGGTAGGTTAATTGGCTCCTGTCAAAATTTGCCCTAGTATGTGTATGTATGAATGTGAGTTAGGGACCTTAGATTTTACGCCCCTTGAGGGTTAGGGACTGATGTGAATGTATAATAAAAGCAGTATAAGTACTTATATAGCAGCGCTATACAAGTACCTGAAATAAATAATAAAAATAAGTATGATCAGCAGGAGGAGTAGAGTCAGGTGGAAGATTAAGTGAAGGCTGGAGTGTGGAGCCTGAAAGGGGGCCCAGAGATGGGGCCTACCTACAGGCTGGTGCTGGACAAGGGAGCCTCCACTGTACCACCACCTTCCAGGAAGGACATCCTGAACAGCAGGGAACAGCCAGCCCAGAGAAAGGCCTGAAGGCAGCCACCTACCAATTGAGCTATCAAGAAGGACTGTCTGAGTAACTTTACACCCCCTGGGCTGGATAAGGGGAGAGGGCAGTCAGGTGGAGAACCCAGCTAGCCCCTCATCTGTGATTGTTTCCTAAGTTGACAGTTTCTGGGTCTCCTTGTCCAGGGATACCCTAAGGAAGCTGGGTGAAGAGGTGGTTTTATCTGGGGTCTGAGGAGGTACACTGGAGAGCTCTTTAAAGGAGAGACTTTTTGTCCACGGACTTGTACATAGTTGCTTAGGAGTTGTACTCATAGGTCACAGTTTCCTTGGGAATTCCATACACCCCTCAACCCAATCCAAGTTCTAAACCCCTCTAATAAAATCCCCAAACCAAGCTAGAGGACTGTTTACTGTCTCCAGTGTGCGTGTTGCCTGGCTGTGCAGAGCTGTAAGGGGACCCAAAACCCAGAAACTCCTAAGGGGGTAGTGCTACGTGTATTTAACCAAATCCCATTCCTCCTAACCAAAGGGCTCACCCTGTAATGTACACTCAGAACCTGGGAGACAGTATATGAGCTTAGGGAGCTGATTGGCCAAGTCTTAGACTTCCATGACTTCCAAGCTGAAGAGTGAGAATCAGGGGGAAAATGCTAAAAAGGGTGAAGATATCATTCCTCCATAGATAAATTAGCCCCGTTTTGGGTCATCAGTACTAAGATCTCACCTGTCCCCAGAGCGAGGTGCTGCGAGGCCACTACTGAAGAGCAGAGGAGCTAGCAGGATCAGGAGGACAGCCATCATGGTGGAAATCCTGCAAGACAGACAGATCGAATTATGGAGGAGAGCTCCTCTGGGTAAAAATGAGTCCTTATTGTACATTAAAACCCAACTTGACACAAAAAGCCTTGACCCCTGAAGGAGTTGCTAGATTTTGGTAGGCTTTCCTGCTTTCCCTACTGGTCCACCTGCACTATAGCTTCACCCAGACACTTACCAAATCTCTGAAGGTGACTGGCAGTCTTAAAGGCCAGCATACTTCTTTTGCAAAGTGTATTGACTCTATAGTTTAGGGCAGGGGTCTCCGGAATATTAGTGCCCCATCATTGGTGTCAATGAAAGGAATAGTGCCCCATTGTTGGTTTCAGTGGAAGGAATAGTGCCCCATCATTGGTATCAGTGGGAGGAATAGTGCCCCATCATTGGTATCAGTGGAGGAATAGTGCCCCATCATTGGTATCAGTGGGAGGAATAGTGCCCCATCATTGGTATCAGTGGGAGGAATAGTGCCCCATCATTGGTATCAGTGGAGGAATAGTGCCCCATCATTGGTATCAGTGGGAGGAATAGTGCCCCATCATTGGTGTCAGTGGGAGGAATAGTGCCCCATCATTGGTATCAGTGGGAGGAATATTACCCCATCATTGGTATGAGTGGGAGGAATAGTGCCCCATCATTGGTGTCAGTGGGAGGAATAGTGTCCCATCATTGGTATCAGTGGAAGGAATAGTGCCCCATTGTTGGTTTCAGTGGAAGGAATAGTGCCCCATCATTGGTATCAGTGGTAGGAATAGTGTCCCATCATTGGTATCAGTGGGAGGAATAGTGTCCCATCATTGGTATCAGTGGGAGGAATAGTGCCCGATCATTGGTGTCAGTGGGAGGAATAGTGCCCCCATCATTGGTATCAGTGGGAGGAATAGTGCCCCATCAATGGTGTCAGTGAAAGGAATAGTGTCCCATCATTGGTGTCAGTGGGAGGAATAGTGCCCCATCATTGGTATCAGTGGAAGGAATAGTGCCCCATCATTGGTTTCAGTGGAAGGAATAGTGCCCCATCATTGGTGTCAGTGAAAGGATTAGTGCCCCATACTTAGTGTCAGTGGGAGAAATAGTACCCCATCATTTGTGTCAGTGAAAATAATAGTGCCCTATCATTGGTGTTAGTGGGAGGGATAGTGCCCCATGATTCATGTCATTGGGAGGAATAGTGCCCCATCATTCATGTTAGTGGAAGGAATAGTGTTCCATCAATGGTTTCACTGGAAGGAATAGTGCCCCATCATTGGTTTCAGTGGGAGGAATAGTGCCTCATCATTGGTGTCAGTGGGAAAATAAGTGCCCCATTATTGGTGCCAGTTGGCGAAATGATGCCCCATCATTGGTGTCAGTGGGATGAATAGTGCCCCCATCATTGGTGTAAGTGAGAGGAATAGTGCCCATTATTGGTGTTAGTAGGAGGAATAGTGCCCCTGCTGTTATTGTCAGTAAAAGGAATAGTGCCCATTTGTTGGTATCAGTGGGAGGAATGGTGCCCCACTGTGGTGTCAGTGCAGGAATTATTGCCCCATTGATGGTATCAGTGGGAGGAATAATGCCTCAAGGGTAGGATAAAGGTATGCAAAGGGCCGCATTTGGTCCCTGGGCTGCAGTTTGGAGACCATTGGTTTAGGGAGAGAGAGTTAGGGATACAGGATACCCAAAACAGCAGCAAAGACCGTAGTTACATAGTTAGTCAGGTTGATAAAAGACACAAGTCCATCTAGACCAGCAAATAAACCACTACAATTAGTAAGTTCTTCTACTATCACCTGCCGCAGACTACTGTGAACTCTTTAGGCCCACATGGGCAGCTACCTTAAAGTATCTTCAGCCTCTGCCACAGACCAGGTTAGAATTTTTCTGACCTCCTGCACAGGCCAGTTGTGGACCTTTTACGCCCAGACAGGAAACTTTTCTGCACCTTCAGCTTCTTCTTCCGGCAAAGGGCATGGAAGGGAAATACTGCAGCCCTCTGGAGTTACATCTCCCCAGGCAGTAGCCTGGAAGTTATAGATTTCCCACAATGATATCCTTTCCAGGCAAAGCCTGGGAGACAAGCATCTCTGGACTCACATTCTCCCCAGATAAAACCCTTGGAGGCAAGGGCCTCTGGACCTCCATTCCAAGCAAAGTCTAGGAGGCAAAAACTCTGGGCTTGTACCCTCTTCAGGCAAAGCCTGGGAGGCAAAAACCTCTGGACACACATTCTCTCCAGACAAAGCCTGGGAGGCAAGGACCTCTGGACTTGCATCCTCTTCAGGGAAAGCTTGGGAGGCAAGGATCTCTGGACTCACATCCAATCTAGGTAAAGTCTGGGAGGCAAGAACATCTGGATTCACATTCCCTTCAGGAATACCCTTGGAGGCAAGGACCTCTGCACTTGCATCCTCTCTCCAGGAAAACCCTGGGAGGCAAGAACATCTGGACTCACATCCTCTCCAGACAAAACCTGGGAGGCAAGGACCTCTGGACTAACATCCTCTGCAGGCAAAGCTTGGGAGGCAAGGATCTCTAGATTCACGTCTAATCCAGGCAATTCCTCGATGGCAAGGATCCCTGGACTCACATCCAATCCAGGTAAAATCTGGGAGGCAAGAACCTCCAGACGCACATTCTCTCTAAGCAAAGCCTGGGAGGCCAAGACATCTGGACTTACACTCTCTATAGGCACAGCCAGGAAGGCATGAACCTCTGGGCTCACATCCTCTTTAGGAAAAGCCTAGGAGGCAAGGACTTCTTGACAAAGCCTAGGAGGAAAGCACTGAAACCCTCATATAGACATCCTCTCCAAAGACGAGGGGGAACGGCCCTTCTAAAAGCTCTCTCCAAATATTTTTCTTCTTTCCCAGCCCACATCACTGATAACGACCCCTCAGTGATTAACCAAGGAAGAACAGATATTTATAATCCAGTATATTGTTTCTTCACACATGATCTGCTGGAGCACACTCCCCAGTAAGAGGCAAAAGCCAACAATGTTCTTGGGTTTAGGAGAAACCTATTGAACCCAGATGACCCAAACAAAGCCCAGCCTGCCTACAGCCTGGCCGCAAAAACTAAATTTAGGCTAGGGACAGTCCAGCATATGACGGGGTTTCTACATAACAAACCCAGATAGAAGAGTTGCAGCAACCATGCAGTCCTGAATTGGTGAAATTTGTGAAGGGATTTGCTGTTAGTACAAGTCCACTGAAAGAAAGGTCATTCTTATCTCACTGCCAGCATGGCAGTTTGGTATAATCTCTGCTAAGACTGGTTCCAGTTTTTATCAACCCGTCTTCAAATCATTAACACTTATTTTTCAGTTTTACCTTCCTATGGTAAATGTTTGACTTTCTCAGAGTAAACAGTGATTTCTTCCCTAGTAAAGCTGCTGTCTAGGATCTGCAGAAAAGAGTGCCAAGGACTGAGAATCATAGCTTCCTAATCACGCAGAATCCATGGACTAACATGGACCCAACTAAAGACCACCATTAAACACATCTAAACTGTCCTGAGACTTGGCCCTGATGAAGAACAGGACTACTACCAAATGATGCTTCTTACAGGACAGAACTTTCATTACTTATCTTTATTGTAGATTTGTCATCCATAACTCTCAGCTGTCCCTGACCTTGAAGAACTGTCCATCTTTGGCAACCCAATCCCTTTGTCCCACTCTGAGAACCCAATCTCTCTGTTACCTTTTGGGAAACTAATCCCTCTGGTCCCCTCTAGTGACCCAATGCCTCTGTCCCTTTTTGGGAATTCAGTCTCTCTGTCTTTTTTTTGGAACCAAACCCTCTGTCCTGCTCTGGGAACAGAATCCCTCTGTCCCTTATTGTGAAACTGATCCCTCTATCCCTCTTTGTGAACCCAGTCCTTTTGTGCCTTTTTTGGAAACCCAATCTCTATGTCCCTCTTTTTGAACCCAATCTCTCTGTCCCTTTCTGGAACCCCGTACCTCTGTTCCTCTTTGTGAACCTAATCCCTCTAACTATTGTTTGTGAACCCAATCCCTCTGTCCCTCTTTCTGAACCTAATCCCTATCTCCCTTTTTCTGAACCCAGTCTCTCTTTATGAACCTAAAATTCCCATCCTTATTGGAAACCCAGTTCCTGTTTGTAAACCCAATCCCTCTAGCTGTGTTTGTGAACCCAAGCCCTCATCCTATTTTTGGGAAATTTCTCTCTGTCTTTTTTCAGGAACCCAATCTCTCTATCCTGCTCTGGGAACCTATTCCTCTGTCCCTCTTTTTGAACCCAATCCCCTATCTCTCTTTGGGAACACAGACACATTGTCCCTTTTTGTGAACCCAATTCCCTGTCTCTCTTTGAGAACCCAGACCCACTGTCCTTCTTTGTGAACCCAATCCCCCGTCTCTCTTTGGGAACTCAGAGTGATTGTCCCTTTTCATGAACCCAATACTTCTGTCACTCTTTGTGAATCCAATCCCCCATCCCTCTTTAGGAACCCAGTCTCATTGTCCCTCTCTTTGAACCCAGTCCCCCGTTCCTCTTTGGAAACCCAGAGTGATTGTCCCTATTTGTGAACCCAATACATCTGTCCCTCTTTGTGAATCCAATCCCACTGTCCCTTCTTGGGAACCCAGTCCCACTGGCCCTCTTTGTGAACCCAATCCCTCGTCTCTCTTTGGGAACCCAGACCCATTGTCCCTCTTTGTGAACCCAATCCCTCGTCTTTCCTTGGGAACTCAGATCCATTGTCCCTCTTCATGAACCCAATACCTCTGTCACTCTTTGTGAATCCAATCCCCCTGTACCTCTTTGGGAACTCGGTACTATTGCTCCTCTCTGTGAACCCAATCCCCTGTCCCTCTTTGGAAACCCAGAGCCATTGTCCCTATTTGTGAACCCAATACCTATGTCCTTCTTTGTGAATCCAATTCCCCTGTCCCTCTTTGAGAACCCAGTCCATTGTCCCTCTCTGTAAACCTAATCCCCTGTCTTTCTTTGGAAACCCAGAGTGATTGTCCTTATTCT